AGTCAATGCAGGCGGCGGACGAACGAGCCGGCGGCGGCCCGCCATAAAAGAAACCCGCGTTCGCTCTGCGGTCGTTTCGGTTCGGGTCGTTAAGAGCTGGACCAATAAAACCAGCGCACTGCGAGACCCCACGACGCTTGCGGGGCGCCACGGGAGGGTCACCCATCAGCGGCCCTCGGGGTTTGGCCTCGCGCCGAAACGCGAATCTTGCCCCCCCCCCCCCCCCCCCTTTTTTTTTTTTTATGGCTCCATATCTGTCACGTATAACTTAGAAAATGCCCCGGGCTTTCTGAAACGCGCAGAAAAATAAAAAAAAAAAAAAAGGAACGTGAGTTCCTTCTGCCGCAAAGTACGGGTATATTGAATATTACACCAGAAGAGCAGGAAATACAGAATCCAACAGCCGTGCTTACTCGGTGAATAACTTCCTGAGTGTATGCTTCATCGGAATGCACTTGAAACACGGGCAGCGAGATGGGCGATCCGCTTTGGGCTCACACCCACGGAGGCAAAACGGGTGGACGACTTTTCGGCCCAAACACACCCTCGGAACGTGATGGTGATTTATCGTCTCCCAAGTTCGAATCGATTCAATAAAGACCGACGGTCAAGCACTCGAGCGCATCACTGTGCAATTAGGCACTCCGGTCTTCTGCGTTCCTCGAAGAAAGATTCCGGAGTTTGACCGGAAAATATTGCCTTTGCTTGACTCGCGCTGCGTTAATGGAAGCGTTGTTCAGCTGTCTACACGCAAAGGACGTGCGCTCTACGAGGCCCAACTGAGCCTTGGTCCGTTCCCTGCGCAGGGACGAAGGCCCCGGTGCCCACCGGTGTCCCCTGTGCCAGAACACGGATCTGAACCTGGAGGCCGGCTGCCGCTGCGTCGACTGCGGTCGCGTCGCCTGCCAGCGGTGCGGGGCGGCCGTGCCGCAGCCGGACGGAAAGGTGCGTCTATGTCTGTGGGGTATATGCTGGCTCACGCGGATCCATTGCACTAAAACGAGCCTGCAAAAAGGGGGCCTGCACATGGAAATCTCAAACTTTCTCGCACTTACAGTAACAGGGGTAGCCTTGCCGTATTAAATTTCAAGGTGTAGTTATTTTTGTGGAAGAAAGGGGAGCAACGAATTTGCTACAGTCAGCGTTTGGCTCGTTCGCAGACGACCGAATTAGCGATGTTATTAACTTGTGGCACCCATCGGGAGATGACGCCACAAGTTAATATCGTCGCTAACACGGCTGTCTGCGAACGCGCCGAACGCTGACTTTGGCAAGTTTGTTGCTCTTGTTTTTTTAAAGGGAAAGAACTTCGCCTTGAAGTTTAGCGCGGTAAGACTGATTTATTCAGTGCACACTCTGTGAGAGTTTGAGCTTTCTATGTGAAGGCGCCGATATTCCCGGTTCGTTTTAGAGCGTTAGATCCGCTTGCGGCACCTTATAGGCCTCCTGCGCCTCCCAGGGGTCGTTACGAAAAGGGACTTGTTAAGACTTGTTTTGGGAAGTAAAAACTTTAGCGTCTCAAAGTGTCTCACATATAGAAGTGCAGCTGCCCTGGCGCAGAACGCGATCACGAGGAAAAATACAAAGAGACAATAAAAATTCGAACGCCGTCGAAGCACAGGTCAAGCTAAGACGCTAAGCACCTTTTCCGCAAGGGCGCAGCCATCTTCTAATGTCGTCCCTTCTGGTACGCGTTAAAACATCGTTTTGGCCTTTCCACGCCGCGGGAAGGCGTTCACGAATGATGCGTGTTTGTCACACATTTTTGTTTCGCCTCGCCTATATTTTTTCGCGTATTCCAGGTTGAAATGTTTGATTATTTTTTTCCTCCCGCATTCCAGATTCGAAACCTACGTCACTCAGAACGAAAAGAAATGAAACTCGTCTAAGTGCGTGAGCTACGTGAGCCAAAAGAAGCCGTTCACACGTTTAAATGTAAAAGTAAGAAATACGTTGGGATTAACGATATTTACGACGCCAATAGGCCGATCTCACCAGCCAGTTTGACTAAGGCACCGCTGCCGCAATGCATCGAGGGGACTTTAGTCTTTAGGCACGTGGGACAACCTCGCTGGAGCTCTGCGCGTGTAGAGCACGAGATGGCACGAGTCCTCTCATGCACTGCCGTCTGCCTTCTGTGAACTAAAGTTATGGCGGCGTCACGGATGCGCCGAACGCTTAGTGAGATCGGTCTATTGTTCTTACGTCGCAACGCAGAGAAAAGAGACGCGTACCCTAGCGGTGGTGGCATGAATCTGGCACTTTCTATTGTCTTGCGGTGTTTAATCTAACCGACGTCGAACGTCGAAAGGTCTTTTTACGGTCTTGAGCACTACACAGAAAAAAAAAAAAAAAAAAACTCAGCAAAGATGCCATAAGTAGTGCGAAGCCCGATCACGTGAGCTTGTACTACCCAAAATGAGAGCTCTACAGTTTGTTCAAAGTGCCAGTGCAAGAAGCTTATAGATCTATAGCGCGGTGCTTTTGAAACTAAAGCCACCGTTACTGATCTGTGCATATCTCACAGAGATGCTGAGCAACTAAATATTACAAATTTACAAAATAAATTTATCGCTTGCGAGAAGCAGCGTAGGCTCCGTAGCGTGACTCTAATTTACCTGGGCTGTCCTCTTTTTATTAGGCTGGTGCCGCACTTCGCGACACCAAACCTTGCGTTTTACAGGAAAAGAAGAAGTAGCGTGTGATAAAACGGAGGCGAAGCATCAGTCAAAGTTAGGAACTGGTTCCAGAACAAGTTCTTTCACGCGTTCGAGCTTTAAAAAAAAAAAAAAGAAAGATTCGTGCGACAAAATTATCCGAAGAATCCACTCAAACTCGTGTGATGTACCGCGTGCGCGGTTCTTCGGACAATATTTCTATCTCTATCTCTTACGTTCTTGCTCTATTTTATCTCTCTTTTTATTTCTCTTTCTCCACCTCTCTATCTTTATGTCGTGAAAAGTATACCTGAGTTTAAAAAAAATGTTCCACATGTTCGCCGCTTGGTAGCGTTACATTTTTAGTGTGAGTTCTAAAACCCCGCTTCATTATATTTTTAAACAAAACTATAGATCGTTACATTATGCGCCAAGACATGCAATCCGAAGTTAGGTTACTTTTTTTTTTGTAGGAACCAGATATTAACTGACTAATCAACGTATTCGATGGAATCGTTTGATCCCCTTTGAGCTGTATGCGAAAACAAGGTCATACAAGAAATTTTTCTCATTTTATTCCTAAGGATTTTATAGCAAACTCAGTCGGGTTGATTGTGATGTCTCGTCAAGAGGAACATTTTAGAAAGCGCGGTTTTATCGCATCGAGAATTTCCGTAACAGCACGCCCTTCGGAAGCGTCGCGTGCACTTGAGAACCTAGTTTAATGCCTTGTAAAACATTCTAATCTCGAAGACAGCAAATTGGTTTTCTGGATGTTATCTGTTCGCTTTATGGAAATCTGTTTTTACCAGGAATGAAGTATATATATATTGTTTTCTGCTGCGATATGCGTGCCGAATCCGTCGTTTATTTATTACGAAATTTCTGTTCCTAGTTCTTTATCGAAATGTGCACGAGAAGCCATTAAAAATGAGAAGATTCTTTTTCACACGTTCGCCGCAAAATGGTTCATTCAACAAAAATAAAAAATCGCAAAAAAAAAAAAGAAAAAACAAACAAACAAAAAAACAGACATGTCTCTCGGCCCAAATTTATTTTCTCGCTATCGCTCTACAATCCTTGAGGAAACGTTGTCTCGGGGGAACCGTCTGAGGACGCCGGCTCCTTCGGCATGTCCCAAGGTTAACGCCTCTCCAAGGACCCCCAAACGACCTGTCTTGTAGCGACAACAAGCGCTGATGCAAAAACCGGCATAAAGTTTAGCCTTGTAATGTATTCACGGCTAGATTCTTTCTGATAGATGTTGGTGCATTGCGGCATCTATAGCAACAAAACAAGACAAAAGAGCAGCGGAGAGTCAACTAAAACTGATGAAAGTTAGAGATATGGCCAAACTTAAAAACAAAATATTACGATCGAATTTCTATGCATTGGTCAATTAACATTAAATTAAAGTTGTGTGGCACACACAACAACTTAAGTGCCAAGCATTTGTGTTCTTTTGTCTCAATAATCTACGTAATTTTGTTTCAGAGGGGAGGAAGTTTTTCTTACCATTCCCTAGAACGTTGGTCTAGGAAACGTTATCTTCACTTTGCTCGTCCTGCAGAGGCCTTGGATCTGCAATGACTGCCACCGCAAGTTCGAGCAAAACCAATCGACCAAGATGCGGTTTCAGCCTCAGCAGCAGCAGCAGCAAGGCGGCTTCCATGAGGGCCCCATTCAGCAGAGGCGACCACCTGTGCAGCACGGGCAAGAGGATCATCGACGTCAGCCAGAACAGCCGTACCAGCAGCAAGAGGGCGGCTATGGGTACCAGGACCAGCGACGACCTCAGGAACCACACCAGGGGGCCCAGAGGAGAACCCAGGAAAGTCACTATGCTCAGCAGCAACACCAGCTTCAGCAGCAGCAACTTCAGCAGCCACGCAGAGATCCAGAAGCTGAGCGGCGCCTCGACCATCAGGTCCAGCAGCAGATGCCACATCAAACGCAGCAGCAACATCCTTACCAGCAGCCTCAACAGCAGCAGCCACTTCAGCTACAACAGAATCAGCAACAGCAGTTGCCACGTCGGTTGGATCAGCAAGATGCGCGGCGACAGCAGCAGGACCAACAGACAGAGCAGCAGAAGAAACTAGAGGAACAGCAACAGCTGGAACTGAGGCGTCAAGAGCACCTTCAGCAGATGGAATATCGCAAAGAACAGGAACAGCAGTACCAGGCTGAGCAGCAACAGCTGCTTCAGATTCGTAGGATAGAACAACTTCAGCAGCAGCAACTTCAACAGCAGCAACAGCAGCAGCAGCAACAGCTTCAGCAGCAACAACTTCAGCAGCAACAGCTTCAGCAACAACAGCAGCAGGCGCAGCAGCAGCAGCAGCAGCAGCAACAGCAGCAACAGGGCCGTGGCTTCGAATCCACGAGGACGTCGTCACAGGGCTCACCTCGAATGGGCACCGGCATGATGAATGGACAGCTCAGATCCGGTCACGGGACGTCAGGCACGCAAGACAAGGTAGGTCTGGCTGCCGTGGTTACAACGAGATTGTGTGGGATGCCATATTGCTCTCACAGCCGTGGGTAGACAATGGAGAACGCTTTTGGGCTAATTTAAAATTGTGAACGAGGTATTTTGCACGATTTTGCATTCAACTGTATGGTCGGTACTCCTAAAGGGCGAAGTAAAGTCCGAATTTTAGACTGCAGGAAGTTTCTCCACCCCAAGGAGCCCCTAGAATGAGAGCCAGTGAAGTACGACTGAAGTCGCTGTAAGGCAGACAGTGCCCTTCTTACAACACACTACCTGTATTCGCAAAAAAACAACATTAGATGACTGCTAATAAAAACAAAGTTAATTAATTTGATAACGTCATTATGACTACATTGATGGGGTTACTATACTTCGTTTCAGCTTCGGTCCAGACGCCGCCAAAGCTACAAGCGCGAGCTCCGGGCTTTCAGCATCCCTGTCAAGCACGCGCGCTCGTGCAGTGCAAGCACTGTTCTGGGCCACATGCTCGCGCTTGTAGCATCGGCTGCGTCTGGACCGAAGCTGAAACGAAGTATAGTTCCAAAAGCGGCCCCCCGTTCTGCGTTCACATATGAAAAGGAAGATGAGTATTCAACGGTACTACATCCACGCGCAAATATAGCCTTTTGCGGTACGTCCGCTATACCCGAGCCTTTTGTTTTTAAACAACACGCTTACGGCAGAGAAGGCACTTGTATAATCTCTGATATAACCAGCAATTCTTATTCTCTAGATCAGACGCGCGGCTCGCGCACGACAGGCTCCGATAGGCCCGTTTCCGTGGCCGGAGAGCTTATAGATCTGCCCTTGGGTTTGTTCGCAGGCGCGGGAGCGAGCCCGGCCGGAAGAAGCCAAGCCACGTGAGTATGCCCCTGACGACGTAGAGCCGGTAGTTTCTCCCCCGGGTAACGGCAAGGCGCTGAGCGAAGAAGAGTACGAGGACGACGACGACTACGACAAGGAAGACGAGGAGGAAGAGGAGGAGGACAGCGACGAAGAGGAGGAGGAAGAGGAACTGTGCGTGGACCGGTACTACGAGCGCAGCCCCGGAGACGTGTACACAATCCCGGAGGAAGAGGAAGATCAGGGGCCCGAGGGCCGCCTTAAGGGTGCCGACACTGACACGGCGCCGTCCTTGCTGCGATGGCGAGGTAACCCGCACCCAGCGGAGTCCCCCGGACCACCAACCCCGCCGCCTTCTCGCTGACCCACCCCGCGCACGACCCCGGGACGCTGGCTGCGCCGCCCAACGAAAGGGCCGCACGTTAGCGGTCGACTTGCGGTTCGACCGGAGCAATACAGCGACAGCGCCTCAGGCGATAGTCCAGCCTTTCCCCTTTTTGATTTCACCCGGGACTAGAGATAGGCTTTTACGAGGAGCAAAAGACAACGTCCCAAGGATGCCTGGGACCTTGCCCTTGTCCTCCCTCTGTCTTTTCTTCAACTGCCGTGGGTTAATCAAACACTGCAAATGCAGACCAGCCAGCCTGCAGGATTACCATTGAACTTCGGATTGTGTAGGCCGGTCCTCTTGCGGGCGAATTACCCGGAGCAATTGAACTAGTCGTGAATAGCGAAACAAGGTAAAAAATGGTTTAGAACGATATGTGGTGCTTTTTTAGTTAATCACCCATAAACCAAGGCATTCGTATGATGCGAAACCTATTTAAAAGCCTCCGAGATAAGGCCTAGAATTCAAACGCAAACGGATGAAAGCATTATGCATGCTTTGTTCTTATTCCGCCTGCAGTACCGAACAAACAAGATGTCTGACTGGTATTGCAGATGGTAAAGCTCAAGATTACTTATGAGGGGGGAATAGAGAAGCAGATATGCAGACGGTCTAAAAGTCGCTAGTAAGGTTACATTCCCCTTTGGCGTCTCTTCTGTTCGTTTGTTCATTTATTAAGCTTTCTCTTTTAGCCGATATCCTGGCCTTTCTTACAAAGGAACGGCGCAAATCCCCGACTCCGCGAAATAAGGACCGCCTCCCGTCCGTGGGTTTTCGGCTGCGTTGCTCCGGGCGGCACAGCCAGTGTCCCGGGCCGCGCGTGGGCCCGTCTTCGCCTCGTGTCGTACCGCCTAGCACCAGGACTCAGTTTGTGGAGGATCACTGGTGGAAGAAGCCCTCGCGAGCACCGGGGACCAGCGGGGAAAAGCGCTATCGGCCGTCCCGACCCACCGCTCCTCACGAGGCGATTCGTGGTTGCACAAACTTGCGTTTTCTTCCGACCGGAGACTTTTTCCCCCACCTAGGGATCAAGGTCTACCCCTCACGGGTCCTTCTTTGCTCGCTTTTCTCTTTCCTTCTCGTTCGTTTCCTAGTTCTCAAAATTTGGCTCACGCAGAACGCAGAGAGTGGCATCAGCTACGCCCGGCAGGCCCGCAACCGCTCAGCCCCCCTTTGTTTTTGTTTTTTCTTATTTTTTTTTACAAGAAGTTCTAAGGGCCGACAACGACAAATTTGACACCAACAGTAAAAGAATGAACGACATCCGACCCCCTAATGTTCACATCTATTTTCATCTATCTGTGTTCCTCCTGCTGTCGGCGACACGGCGTTGTCGGCGTCATCCTGACCGGAATACAACCTAACAGAATCTGACACCCTGCCAAGCTGGCATTTTATATGTAATTAAGTTGAAAATCATTGGGACGACAGGCCAATCGACTCGCGAACCCACACTGCAAGCTGCCCTCGGCATGCCCTGGTTTGCCGATTCTTTAAACTGCTTTTTGTCTGAAGGTCTAAAGATCACTGCTATGTCTGTGCATGTGGTGGGTACGTATACACTACGGACATTTCAGAAATCTCTAGAACGTTTCAGAAACAATAAAACGACTTTTTTACTTTTGATCAACATCAGTTATACGTAAACATTAACCCCTAAAATTAAAAAAAAAATTTTTTTTTTACTTTACACGTTTATTGTTACAAAATGCATGGTAGAATCCCATGCGGTGTTAAGGTCATCAGTTAATGTCCACAGCGAACATGCAAATGGGCTGGCGATGCTGAGAGCTCATTCCATGCTATGGATATTATTTGAGTTCATCGAGTTCTGCCACGACACTGACTAGCCATGACCGCGAACCCGAATATCCCACAGCGCATTGGACGTAAACGAGTGCAAGCCGAGCGGTGATACAGCGCTCGGGTTAAATCGGCGAGCTGCGTTCTGTTGACTAATTTTGGAACCAGAAATGTTACCACTTGGCATCGCAGACGTAACATTTTAAAGTCACAAATATTTATAATGGGGAAAGTAAAACGTAGTCCGCCCCCGTTTGAAATTTACGAGATATTAGTGAACTGATGTTGATGACAGAACGTGGACGTTTGTCCTTGCCGGCTGCACTGCACATCATTCCTTCAGTTGTTACGTTAGCTGAATTAATAATGTTAATTTTAACCCTCATGTTATAGCGTGCTCCTGTCACAGCGTTCAATAATTCAGTTTGAGAAACTAACGTTTCTTTGTTCTTTTAAAGAATCGGCGAACCAACCGCACCAACGCGTTCTGAGCCGTTCGAGTTCCACCTATACAGTCCTTCAGCTTACATAATAGGTGCTAAGAATGCATGCAGTAAAATCCGTTCGACGTCTTCCGCCGGGTTTTGGCTGCGTTGCGACGATGTCTTTGCAACGATAGAAAGCTCGAGTTGGAGGTGGAGCCGTTCGCCCGTGCCCGACTGTACAGCCGCGCTTGTTCCACACGCACCCCCCGGGCACCACGAGGCGGTAGCCGAGCGAGCTGATGCTGCTGCGACGTAGACAGCGGTCTGTTTGGTTCCCAGCCTGGGTTTCTTTCTAGATCCTTTGGTTCCTTCTTGGTTTTGTCCGGGTACGCCAGATGCGTCCCTGCCGGCTAGCGGCGATGCGGGGTGGGGGCGCCGGCAGCGTTGTCCGGGGCTCGAAAGGCCACGCATTCGGAACGGCGGCGGCGGCGGCCCACCAACTCGTGAGCTTGTGATCCGACAGACTGAGTGCTGCGGTGCAGGGTCGTTGTGTGCACCCCTCATTGCCTGGCTCCAGTCGGCACGGAAGCTCTCCTCCGCAAGGCGGCGTACCGCGTTTTCTCTTGCCAGCGAACCGATTCAGGCAGAATGCGCGCACGCAGAGCCCGCTTCGAAAAGCTTCTCTCGAGGCAAACAGAGGCAGTACTCGTGAAATAAAGGGAAACCTGCATCCGCCGGCTAAACCAACGATCTTGTACAAGCGTGTCAAATCTCGAAGCAAGAGCTCTTTTTTTCTTTTTACTTTTTTGTCTTCTCGTAGGCGAGTCCAATTAAGAAAAGACAAATGATTGGCGTTGCTCCGCCGCGTCGCATACTCATCTGAGAGTGCTGACATGCTAAGTAACTTGTCATAATGCGTTACCTAATTTAGACTCGCAGATAATTTGTAATAAAGTCCTTTTTTTTTGGGGGGGGGGGGGGTTCATACGCAGGATTCAAGATTAATTATGGGGTAGCCGGCACATTTTTAGAGTGGTCAACACCTCCGTAGAATTTAAAATATAATATAGATAAGGGAAAGAGGAAAGCACCTGGAGACCTGAAAACTCCCCAGACCGGCCGAGGTTGGGCTTCGCCGCATTAGGGTCGTTCCCCTTAGCGCGTGGCGTGCGGCGAGCCCGAGACGAGAGCTTCCCTGCCGAGCACCCGTCGATGTTGTCGCGTGGAGGTTGGCCTTTGTCGCCTTTTTCCTTCGTTTGGTTCCTGTGCGTTTCTTCGTGTTTGGTTGGGTCTCTCCTGTGTTCCCGAACTTACGTTGCCCGTTTACTCCTGTGTTTGCGGTGTGCCTGCTGCCCTCCCCGCTCCCCGTTCTGGCCGTACCTGCTGGACCCCCCCTGCCTCCGTCCCATTCACATGTGTGCGCCTTCCCCAATTGTGCCTGGATGTGATCTCGCAGTTCTTGCCGCGGGCATCAAGAGCTGTCAGCGATCAGTGCTGTGATTGTTTGCGTTGTGTCCAAGTTTGGCGCCTTATACTGGAAACCTTGACATTAGGATCGCTCACATGTCCACAGAGTTATGACCCAGTCAGTATAAAATTTGATGGAGCGCGCGTGGTGTGTGCAGACATACAGCACAAAAATCGTACAAGTACTGGTTGGATCCATTGCGCCAGTTTTTGTACTGCATCAACTAGTTGAATTGGTCGTCTGTTGTGCGTGTTCCTCAGCAATGAGGCGTGCCTGTGGCCTCTCGTAATTTCTGAAACGTAGAGAATCAGTGGCCTGAGGGACAAGTATGCATATAAAACGAATGATCGTTATTCGCTTGTTTCCTATCAGGTTCATGGCATTTACTGTTCCAGCTCGTCTACACACTTACGTTCTGAGTGAGGTGAATAGTGCTGTTACCTCGCTTAAGCACATACTCGAGTCACTGCTTACATAACTTCTTCCTCTTACATTGTTAATGGTGGGAACCAAGATAGACCGCAGGAATACCGTTCCATGTGGGTCTTACAGTGATTAAACGGTTTCCAGTTGACGTGCCAAAGGTTTAATAATATCCATTGCGGACTAAGCCGGTTGTAGCTTCTGGTCAGTCGTGACAGCCCGTGAAGCCAATGGCGAGATCTGGGTGACTCCTGTATTTTATCGTGTTCCTGTTCAATGAAGTGTAATAGTAAACATCTCATTCTGTACCCGGACCTATGAATTCCTAAGAATATCTCTGAGCAGCGCTAATCAATTTTGAGTCTTCACGAGAGTGACCTGGTAGTCGTTCCTGGCTTTCTTTCCTCGAGGTGATTTACGTGCGAAGAGGTGAAATCTCAAGACCGTATCATTCGTTCAGTAAGTAATAAGAAACCATACATATTTGAAGGTAAGACAATACTTAGCGCATCTGCGTTGCGTGCCCGTGGAAGGGACCTTTCCTTACAGTCTGATACATCTTAATGTGAACCCTTCGCCCACCTTTTTTTTTCTTTTAGCATCTTGTAAATATCTCTACTCGAGCTACCGATCGGGCCCGTGTTTACGCTTTACAGTGTCCTCGTAACATGACTTTACTTTCAATTGACTGATTTCAAATATGCGGGACAATATCAGTAATGGAATGAATCACTTCGCGTTCAATGACCTTCTATCACGTAGAATGAACGACCAGCGCTTTACAAAACATCGAACTGTCTCGGCACATATTTTTCCAGTACCTATACCATTCATAAAGAAATGTCTGGGGTGTTCATTACAAATTCTCGCTACAATCAAAATACGTGCCATCAAAAACCTTAGCCAAGGCTGGACTTTATGGGGCAAATATGCTGCGAGCAATCGACGAATTTTTCCCGGCGGTTTTTCTCTGCGCGTGGCATCGGCAAAGTGACTGCCATGCCGCACGCAAAGGGCGCGTGCCGCAGGGCGAAGATCGCCAGTTATTCGTCGCATAATGCACTCCATGGAATTTCAGCCTTTAGGATTGCCAAGGGCGTCGAGATTTTAAGCCACCCGTGATCTGCTCATGATGCCAGTCCAAATCCGAACAGAGGTCCGGTTTCAGAGTGAGGACGTCCGCTCCCAGCCCAGTAACCGGTGGGCAACCGAGCGGGTGCTGAGCGTCCGGGTGGCCTGTGTGTCGTTTCAGGCGGTGGGCCGCAGCCATCGCAGCCGGGCCTGGGGGAGACGCTGCAGCGTGTCCCGGGCGGTGTCTCGGGCGCGTTCCCGAGGCAGCAGGTAACGACCGGCAGCGCGTGGGGCGAGACAGACGCTTGTCCGCTGGCCGCGGGGGCGGGGAGCGCGTTCAGCACGCCGCTCGCGAACGGGCAGCAGAGACAGCTCGCGCCGCCACAGGACAAGGCCCCGCCCGCCGAGAGCGCCGCGGTCGCGCCCGTGTTCGCGTCCATACCCAGAACCGTGCCCCTGACCAGCGTGTCCCAGACTGTGCCACAACAGCCGACCGTGGAAGCCAGGCCGCAGGACGCGTATCAGGCGCAGAGCGCGTTCACCCCCGTGGCGCCTCAGCATCACGCGGCGCCTCAGCAGCAGGCTGCGACGCAACACCCGGTCGCGCCTCAGCATCAAACCGCACCTCAGCATCACACCGCGCCTCAGCACCAAGCCGCGTCTCAGCAACAAGCAGTGCCTCAGTTTCAGCCCGTACCTCAGCATCAGACGGCACCTCAGCAACAGAGTACATCTCAGTATCAGGCCCTGCCCCAACATCAAAGTGCGCCCCAGTTCCAAACCGCGCCTCAGCACCAGACTACTCTTCAGCAACAAAATGGGCCTCAGTACCAGAGCCCGCCTCAACACCAGGGCGCAATTCAGTACCAAAGTGCAGCCCAGTATCAGACCGGGCCTCAGCCTCAGCACCAAGCATCGCCTCAGCAGCAGGCACCCCAGCAGTACCAGGCTGCCCCTCAGCACCAGACGATGCCCCAACAGCAAGCTCCCCCTTCCGTAGAAGTGATCGAGCCGCAGGCGGGGGACAGTGCGCAGGAGCGCCTGGGGGCCGACGTCGACCAGAAGCCCAAGAGTATCGAGCTGGCGCAGAAGCGGACCAAGCCGGAGTCCCAGGATTGGTCTCCCGTGACAGACCTGTCTCCGATCCTGGACGTGTCCCCTTCGGTGGAGGCCGCCGAGCAGGAGCTCATGCGGCGCTTCCAAGAGGACGACCGGCCGCCGCTGGGAATCCCCAGAGCTACCAGCGGGACCATCTCGGGCATGCTGGCGGACTTCAACAAGGCCATGGGCCTCGCGTCCCCTGGCCAAGAGCCCCCCGGTGAATCGGCCGACACCCCGGCTACTCCGAAGCGCGTACACCGGCGTCTGCCGCAGCCCACCATGGAGCAGATGCAGGCCGCCGTGGCCCTAGCAGCTCAGGGCCCGGGCCAGTCGGCAAGACCTGTGTCGCCCATGGTTCCGGCGGCGCGCAAGGAGGCCGGTACGACAGCGACGGCAGTGCCGACAGTAGCGAAACCCGTGCCGGCGCCTCGCGCTATCAGTGCCCCGACAGTTTTGACGGTGGCTGTGAGCGGAACTGTGGTGACCGCCACGGTGGCTCCTCCAGGTGCTACCATGACGCCTCAGCCGGCGCCCTGCAAAGACGAACTGGGCGTACCCGGCGGGGCGACTCTCTCCTCGTCTCCCGTGCCCTTGACTAGGACTCTGACCCCCGTGACGCCGCAGACCCCCGGTCCCCAGGTACGTGATCCCGGGGAAGGGGCCCCCCCTAGCCCAGAGAGGCGCTTCTAGGGACGCGTTGCACTGCCCTCGCGATACGCTCGCGCCACCGCATGCGTGACGTGTCCCGACCCCGCGCCGAGGCCGCTGACGGGCCGCGACCCCGTCGCTCGTGTTCTCGCGCTCGCATGTCGCCGTCCGGTGAGTGGCATCTTTCGTCAAGCTTTCCGCCCTCGCTTCACGCTGAAAAAAATCCGTTCTTGGGAGGACCTAGCTAAGCTATCGTCTGGTTGTCCCCATTTCCATCCCTCCCTGGGTTGGAGATGGTCCGTGACATCCTATCGGGAGACTGTGCATTAAAGCGCACTTTTGTTTAGAGTGCTCATGCAGTGCTTCAGCAACCGAACAACTCTTTTAGAACGGATTTTCCTCGGAGTGTGGTTTGCCCTGCTCTCTCGCGACTCTGTGCAGCGGACACGCGCAGCGCAGCCTGCAAGGACACGTAAGCCTCCATCTTCTCTGCCGGTCCCTCTTGCAAATGACTCGCGGGGATCCACGTGTCGGAGTCAGGGCAGGTCACGGTGGGAGATGTAGCGGCGACTCGGAGCGCCCTCAGCACGGCGGAAAGCCTCCGGGGACTCGCGTTCTTTGGCCCCACCCGAAAGCTCGTCGTCACCGGCGTAGTGAAGCCGGTCGCATGACTGAAAGTCGAGTGGTTCACCGCTGTACTGACACGCCACCGCTGCGTCCCGCGTGGCGTGACCTACAGCGTCGCAAGGCATGCTCCGCTTTCCGACGTCGCTTTTTGGTCGCCTCTTTTGGCCCGTCTGCCGCGAGTCGGAGGCAAACAACGTGTCCGAGGGCAGTTCAACGTCGGTCCCGCCTCCCGTAGTGTCTTGTCGTGCGCCAACCTCGTTAACACCGCTTATTTTTGGTCTTCATTTACACGCACTTGAAGAGACGCAGCAGAGCGTCTCTGGCTTGATTCCCCTTCCCTTAGTTTTTTCTCTCTTTTTTTGTATTTTCATAATACGTAGAATTACGTAGTGTTTTCGTTATCTTTTAGATGCTGTAGGAGCCTTTTGTTTTACATTCGCACTTAATGTTAGTCCCAACTACAGAGTAGCCCGGTTTAGGTCTGGTAGTTGCCCGAGGGCCGCTACTCTCCCAGTTGACCTGTTCAAACTCCCAGCGATGCCTCGTTCTGGGTCTGCCACCCACCTGCCAGCGCTGACGGTTGCTAAGTTGTTGTTTTTGTGAATCTATGGAAGAACATGACATTTTTAGAGTATCCTAAGCAACAAGCTTCAACTTAATTATGTTCAAAGAAGCCAAGCAAAGCTGGTTAAAAAAATGCATACTGATCAACCCTTCCGCTGTCGCGTTTTGTCTGCTTTGGACTGAGGTCGCTTGTTTTGGTGCGACTGCTTATCGGACCTTTTTAACCTGCATGAAGCAAAAACGGTCTCAGAAATTACCGCATTCTGTGAAAGGGCATTTTGTAATCGGCAGAAATGGTCACAGAAATTCACGACTGTGGAAAGACAGTTCATAATCGAAACGGCAGGGACGTGAATTGAAACTTATTATGGCGTCTCTAGGGCGTGAACAGAACAGCGTCGTGAGCAAAGATGCAGACGATAGCTAGCCCTTTTTGTGTTCACGACTTCTAGTCAGCTTCTACTTCCGCTTTCTCAATGGCAACAGTTTAATCTGGTAAGTATTAAAGCGAAACTTTAGTCTCCTGTCCCAACTGTTCGGTTTATTGTTCTCACCTGATCGCCAGCCTGTTCCTGCGACTACAGTGGACACTACAAAAAGGGGTGTTCCGGGAAAAGTCTGTGGTTTCAGCCTCTTGAAGTCGGAAGCCACGCGCGGTTCTTGGTGAACGGTGGAGTAAACACTCAACAGCTCACAAAGGCCAGCAGGGAGAAGCCAATGAAATGATCGCTTTTCACAAAATGCTGCGGTGTAACACCGTCGGGACGACGTAGTAAACGTTGGAAGGGAGTGGAAATGTACAAAGATGGGCACAAGTAAAAGAATAAACCCGTTTCGAGAAGATTAAAAGTAAGGTTCGGGGGGGGGGGGGGGGGGGGGGGGGGGGGGGAGAGAGAGATGAAAAAACAAGAAGGAAGTCATGTAGGCTTTTTTTTTTCTTTCTCTTCTCGCTGGATTACCTGGTTCCCTGTGGGTGGCAGTTTCCTTTCATTGCTCGCTTTTCAGATATACTTCGATTCTTTAATATTGAGGAAGGTGTGTTGTGTAATCAAACACTTTGCCCATGCGAAGATATTTCGTAACGCAACGTGACACCAAAAACTAATAAATTTCGTCTTAAAGAAAATTAAACCTGAAGGCGACGGTCGAATAAGATTGCAAGCGTTATTTTTATGAACTTTTAAACATGCACGAAGCATGCACGCAACCACGGAACTTCAGGATTGTAATTTTTGTACTAAATCAGTTAACCTTCAGCCTGACTTTAACTTCATTTTAAAGAAAGTTTTTTTTACGCGAAGTAAGAAAAAAATGGGAGCATTATCTCATATGCTACGTAAATCGTTTGCATATCGCTATATTAAAGCAGTTTTCGCTTTTGCAGACTGTGTTTAAACAAAACCCGCGATAAAGTTTTCGAAAAACAGAAATTTCTCTATTATTTTTTTACTTATATGCGTACATAGAGCGGAATGATTACAACACCCAAGTCAGGGACGATACCTGACAAAGCGAACCAGACGCGCGGTTCAGGTGAGAACCCATCGAGGAGACAGCGCCCCAGCGGCGGTGTTCCCAGGCAGCCCCCGAACGAGGCAGCGCGTCACGTGGCCACCAAAGGCTCCCGTGCCCTGACCCGTGCTCTGGGGCGTGCCTCGCAGGGCGGCGACTCGTCGGACACGCCGAGCGAAGCCGACAGCTCCGGCGGCAAGGTCCGTAGGAAGCTGCCCCCGCTGCCTCAGGACCAGGAGCCGAGCCCGGTGCCGGCGCGGCGCGCCAAGGACCGCGCGCGGGTCCTCTCCGCGGGCGCCCTGGACCGCTCGCCACGGCCCAAGCCGCAGCCCCCGAGGGCGTCCTCCATGGACGGCGCGACGGCCAGTCTGCACGGCTCGTCGCTGCTGCTGCCGTCGACCGCCCCAAGGTCCGCGTCGCCCGCGCTGCTCGCGGGCCTCTGCGACCGGCCGAGCTCGGCGTTCCTGTTCGCCGACGCCGGCTCCAAGCTGCCCTCGTACATGAACTCGCTCAAGCAGCAACTTCGCGAGGAGCTCAAGACGGTGACCGGCGAGCGGCGCCGGCTGCTGGAGCTCCGCGAGCGCGAGCGCGACCTCCAGCGCCGCTCGGAGACGGACCTGGCCGCGCTGCTGGCCGGCTGGAGCGCCGAGCCCCGGCCAGGCCGAAGGTCAGCCACCGCGTCGCCGCTGGCGTCGCCGCGCCGGACGCGGCACCGCCGCCACATGTCCGACCCGAGGGCCTTCCGGACGGACCTGCTGTCCGACTTGGGCGCCTTCAAGTCGTACGAGTACGAGTGCCTGGACGAGCGCCCGGCGTCCACACTCGCCCTCGCCGCCAGGGCGTACGACGCCTCGCTGGGACGCCTGGACGCGCGGGGCGCGTCGCTGTCCGACGTCCGGCTGGCCGACGCCGACGCGCTCTGGCTGCGGGGGGCGGCGACCAGGCCGCCCGAGGACCCGCTGGCCCGCTACCGGAGGCCGGGGTGCGTACGCTCTTCTCCTCGGCAAGCACTTCTACACCGCGAGGGCCGATTTGAAGCTGCAATATAAGTTAGTTCGGCAATTTCAGGTGCAGTGCGAGCTCAAGTTACCAAAAACAGCGCCGGAATTTAGTCGAGAATGTGAAACTTTCTATTTCTTTTTTTTTAATATAGACTACGCGCCAGGTTCCAAGAAGGAAATATAAGGTGCTCATCAGGCACGTAGCCAGGATTTTGTATCGGGGGGGGGGGGGGGGGGGGGGCACCGCCACCCATGACAAAATGCTGTATAAGGGGGAGGGGGAAAGGAGGACCCAGCAAAATGGAAAATTTGGGGGGGGGGGAAGAAGGGGGGAGCCCGCGGGCCCCATGCCCCCTCCCCCCCCCCCCCCCCTGGCTACGTGCCTGGTGCTCATGTTCTTTTGGAAAACTTTGCGTCTTTGGAGTAAAATTCACCAGCACACCCCACTGTATTTTTGTACCTGATTTCTATTTTTTTGCTTATTTAATAGGTTAAAATAAGTAGCTATGAGAATTTCAATTATTGATGGTGCTCGTGCGTACGTACGCGCGTGTGTGTGCGTGCGTGTGTGTGGGCGTATGCGTGCGTGTGTCTGCGTGCGTGCTTGCGTGCGTGCATGTATGCGTGTGCTTGCTTGCGTGCGTGTGCGCGTCTGTGTGCGTGCATGTATGCGTGTGCTTGCTTGCGTGCGTGTGCGCGTGTGCGTGGGTGCGTGTGTGTGTATGCGCGTGTGCGTGGGCTTGCTTGCATGCATGAATGCGTACGTGCGTGCGCGCGTGCATCCGTGCGTCCGACTGGGATTATGTGCACTCAGCAAAAAGACGATGCTCCCACATGGACCTATCTTGTACACACTTTCTCGCGCATATCGCCGCAGCGCTCCATGTTAGGGCGCTAACCAGCCCGCCGGTCAGCGCTCCCATGGAATTATTAAACAAATTTTGAGAGCAGTTCACGATTGCGATTAAAGCTGCGGAGCGCTGTTTCTGTCATTTAAAGGGGACGTGCAACGATCTTGGGTAGGAATGTTCCTTACTTTAGACAAGCATACTGGCACCAGTAGCACTTATCGCCACCATATGAGCTGGGCTTCGAGTATCCGCACTCTGTTCCCGAATATTGTTGTGGGCGCCACCATCTTGGTGCTTAGTGCAGAGCACAATCAACTGTCGATTGTCACAATTAAGAAATGCGACAGTTCATCACCTTTAGACACGGAATTAGGAAGCTCAGGTGATATTGCTTTGCTCTGTTGCCAACTGTTTTAATTTCTGTATGACGGAAAAGCACTTCCTGCGATTTTAGATAAAGGTTCAGATAACTGGCGACCATGATTTTAAGCACCAAGACTGTTGAAGTGTCGTTGCTCTGAAGAATAGCTTATTTAGTGACTCTAGTGATACCCAAGTATACTTGCACGCAACGAAATTGGCGAAGAAACTTCGCTCTCACCGCGTGATTTCGAAGATAAAAAAAGTCCGAGGGCACCTAAGCACTTCTTATGACTTGTGAATGCAAAAGCAATGAGTCGCAGGCATGCCGCCTGCGACTCATTGCTTCCGCCTCGCGTTGTCGAAGGTCCTCGTCCTCTTGCCGCCTGAGACGCTTTGAATCGCGAACAGCTTGCGCCTCACGCTTTCGAAAAGGCTTTGTTCTGTCTTTTAGCGCATTGCGCCACTGCTCGTTCCGCCCGCCGTGTATTCGGAGACTTGACAACGATGGTGGATTTCGCTGCCTGCCTCCTCGCTCGTTGAGCTGCGTTATCCTCTCCCTTAGTTCATCTGCGGTGTACCAACACCACGGTGTACTTGCGTGGACGGGCAGGTTTCGCTACTGCCGAGGTTGCGGCTGCCGGCGATGTAGATCCTTGAGCCGCCGTCATGTTCGTCGGCGTCGAGAGGAGCAGATGCGGCGCTCCACTGTGTTCCTTTTAACGATGGATGGATGTTTGAATCCGGCTTAGCCCTTCGGATCGGGCGGTAGCTTACGCCACCTAGCTATGGTGCTGCGGGCCCCGCACCCTACGGCGCGGGGCCCGCAGCGCCATAGGGTGGCGTTCCTTTACACTATGACGCGCGCCAGCCAATGGGAGCCTATCCATCAAATCGCTGCTACAGACTACAGGCCTCGCTCCTTGGGACAGGAGAATTTAGATGCCGTTTGGCGCGGCTTCAAAAGCTGATAAGACCAGTTCGCTCCTTGGGACAGTTAATGCATCGTACCTGCGCGCGGTTGTGTACCACCACTGCGTTAAAGACCCCAGGCTAGTGGTTGTACTGCACTGGCTAAACTTCTCATCTACAGCTGGGAGACAAGTCGCCGGTTAAGGCAGACTAACTTCAAGCTGTATAAACATACACACAACACAATAGTAAATTAGTCGAAGAATCATGATTGCGTCTATTACCCGTGACATGGTCTAAGATTAATGTCAACATAATCAGAATGACATCTGCTAGAAATTGCACGATTTTTGCCACCTGAAGTGCGTATTCCAGTAACTTTGACTGTACTCGCTGTCACACCAAAAAAAAAAAGTTCTGTGCATTATTCATGCGCTGCTGTTCTTACAAGATTTGGTTGTCGGAGGAAGGATCGATGTTTTTGGCGTTTGAAACGTGAACGTCTCGATGAAATAGCGGCAAACTAATGTAAAATGCCTCCACATATATCTTAATTCAGAGCATAAAAGAGTAAATGAGTAATGATTCAGGAGAAGCTGGACTTTATTATTATTTTACTACCGTTTTTAGGTGAATACGAGTATAATCTTTTCTTAAGAGCAGCTCTACCAACTCCGCTGCTGAGATCGGCGCGCATCTCGGTGAGCTCATCGCCGCCAGCGGGAAATTCCCCCGCCGCGCGCGCTACGTCGACGGCCGGTGGCGGCGGCGTTGCAGCCATCGAACGCTCTTCTGAGCTCGGGCGTGGCTCCGTGCCGTCCCCCTTCCGCAGGTTCCGTCGGTCTCGCGAAGGATCCCTGGAGTCCCTCCCGGCCGCCATGTCCCTGGAGAGTGACCTGCTGGGCCCCCTGGCGGGCGGCGCACGCAGCAGTCCCTCGGCTTACCTGGGCGAGCGCAGGCCCAAGCGCAAGGACAAGCTGTCGCGCAAGCCCCGCTCCTGGCACCCCTCCCCCTACGTGTCCGAGGACGAGGACGACACCATAGACAGGGAACAGCGCAAGGCCAACATCAAGGTGGGCGCACTCGCTCGACCCCTCGCTTAGACAGGAAGTGGCGATGCGGGCGAGTAGCTTCATTCGTCTCAATTGCTAATACAGCGCACCGTTAACAAGGACAGAGATGGGCGACAGACAGGACTGCTAATACATTATACGAGAGACAGTGCGCAGGCACTGTCCGAGGCCTTCCTTGTATGACAATCAGATTAGTCGCTCAAACCCTGTCTCTGGACATGTTCGAAGCATGAATTAAACAAACGTACTTGGAGCATGCTTCAGGTGTGTCGGCAGAGAATTCTGTCGTGTTGTCTGCAGCGACTCGCCGTGCCCTTTGTATGAACCCTCATCCGTTTCGATCTGGATGAGAATTGTACCGGCGTGCGGTCGTGTATCGCTAGTGCGTGATGCGCGAAGACCCCAGGCTAGCGTTTGTACTTCACTGGCTCTCCCCTACAGCTCAGACTCCAGACGCCCACTGAGGCAGACTAACTTCCGGCCCTTTCGAACGTACGCAACGGAATCACTTCATTTACGAGCAAATGGAATGCTTCTTAAGTGCACTGGCAGACGACACTTGTTGCGTGTATTCGTGCCTTCACCCGCCGAGTAAATAAAGCGATGTAGCAGTTACAGCGGAAGTAATAGGTTTAATCGCGATGCAAGTTCACCTATAGGGTCGGCGATAGGCATGGGCGACCGGGGCGGCAGAGCCGGGCTTCGCGCTGGCACCAGGGTCCCGCAGCCGCGAAAGGGGGCACTGCGGTCCCCCAACCAATGAAAAGAGCTTAGTTTTATGCATCTGTCACGGTGCCTGTGATGAACGCCTTTACACATTGTTCTTGGCCTCATCGCACAGATGGAATCTAGAGTTACGCAGTTTATTTACCTCTAAAGCCAGTCTCGGAGACAAGGTGGCTATGCAGCGTGGAGAGTCTGTAAGGAAGTTAGATATCAGTTAACGTAGGTGAGCGACGCATTGAAGGCTCTTCAAGATGGGAGTTCAGATGCAACCGTGTACAGCGAAGCGACACGAATTTACGATTCCCTAAGGTCGTATGAATAGACCGATATCACCAGCTAGTTTTGCTAAGCAGCCGCTGTCGGCATGCATCGTAGGAACTGTATTCTTTCTGCACGCTCAATAACCTCGCTGCGGGTGGGCAAGAGCGGAGCACGAGACGGCACGAGATGACCCGTTCACTGTCGCCTGCCTCCTGTAAACTACAACTATTAGCGGCGAGATGTTTCGGTGGCGCCCTCGTTCGGTTACCTTTCGTGACGTCATTACCTTGTGAGCAACAAGTTCGATGGTGTTTGTAATGGGCATGGTGGAAGCCTGAAATCATAGCGCTCTCAAAGCAACACTGCCAACACCGTCAGCATTGAAGTTCTTACACTACTGCTATTATTTCCGTCGATGAGAAATCCTTTGCTGGCGTCTTAGTCAGCATTCGGCCAATCGTGGTGGGCCGACCACAGCGACGCTTTTGATCGCTCACGTCGCCAATTGTGGGGTCATGCATGCAAGGCACGCTCGGTGAGATTGGTGTATTCGTCATTTATTTAGTGATACGGTGCGACATTCTCGTCAAAGAGAACGCCGTCAGCAAGCTCTGGCAAATGGACACGACGCAGCTAGATCTTGGAATGAGACACGTGGAAGGATTTGTCGCCTGGCTGGAGGATTACCGTAAAGATGGGTTTGCGGCAGCACGAACATTAGTAAATAACCCACGTGAAAACCTGGGGATATCCGAAAAACTAAAGGACTTCCAACAACGGCGAAAACACGGTGCTTGATCAGGAACCTGTTGCCGAACCCATGAAGACATTTAAGAGGAATTAATTTCTTGTGATTGTTGACCAGACGCTCATGTCAATGACAAAACGCTTTAAGCAACTCCAACATCATTCTATCTTATTTGGTTTTCTTTACAACATTTTGGCACTCCAGAAACTAGAAAACTAGAAACTATAAAAAAAGAATCACGTTATTGAAAAGTATGAGAATCTCGAAACTCGTTTAACGCAAGCCGGTTGCTCTGACTATGTGGGACTGATCTTGCAGTAGAGCTTTTTCTTCAGTCGTTCGTTCTAGAAAAGGGCTCGTCTGTTAGCGACAGTCTGAAGTACGTGCTACAGAGCGAGGCACTTCAAAACTCTTACCCAACATAGCAATCGTTCTTCGAATTTTGCTCACAGTACCGTTGTCGGTTGCGTCAGCCGAGCGGAGTTTCTCCAAACTGAAATTCATTAAGATTTTTATTCGCTAAACGGTGAAGCAAGAACGGCTGCCAGCCTAGGCCGCGCTTTCGATAAAGCAGTAGACTCTATCGACCATCGACAAAAGCAGCACCATTAAGGTGTCCAGTGCCAAAAAAGCACAGAGAGTGTGTTTTAAGTTGGGATGTGCACGCTTGCAACATAGGGCCTACTCGTCTACCTCCCTACAAGCCACGCTTATTTTATAACGGGGTCGAGAGAAATTGATTGGAACAAGATAAAATCACCACTGGATTTCTGATCAAGGCATGTCACGTTATTGTGTCGTAGTTGCAGTGCAGGTACAAGCTTTGTTGGCCTTGTCAATCGCCGAACCCCCTCCGCAAACATTATTGATTAGCTTATTGCGCGCCATGACGGGAAGTATATTCGCGTCTACTTTACCTCAGAGAAGCAGATGTTCAGTGTGTGCCGTCCTTGTGGTGTACGCTATTGTTTTCTCTTTATATATTTGACACGTTGTATTAGCTCTTGTACTATATTTCAGCCAATGTGTTGCTTTGGGTATTCTTTGCTCGTGTGCATATTCACAAAATGTCCCTGCCACATTTAAAAAAACAAACAAAAAGAAACTTGCTACTGTTTTATATCTGTAGTTCTTACAGTTGAGCACTACAACATGTGCACGTATACGACAATTGGATGTATGATTTATTTTCTCTCACATACTTAACTTTCAACCCCTTCTCCAAATTTTTTTCCCCAGGGATTCGCGTTATCTAACGCCGGTCCTGCGTGTCTATGCACTCTCAGAAGCTTCTGCATGGGGCCTGTGCAGGGATTCATTGGGGACACCAATTATTGGCCTTTCTTTTGCTTTGTTGATAAAATGAAGAGGACGATGATTTTATGATCTAATGGTAATGGGTTACCTCCGCGGTGTCAAAAAGGGGGTCCAATTTTTTACCATTGAGACCGCAGAACATCAAGCGCCCTTTTTATTGACTCACCTGATTAGAGCAAGACAGATGATTGGAGTTCCGAGAAGCATCGCGGAGGCAGTATATGTGTACTTACTACTGGGAGCTATAGATTTAAACAAACGGGACAAGCAAGAAACAAAGACAAAAAAGACATGATAAACATTGGCCTCCCCCCCCCCCCCCCCCCCCCCCTAAACCAAAAAAAAAAAAGAAAAAAGCCTGCGTTGATTCAATAGAATCAAAGTCACTCATTCGATTTTACATTCTCATATATTTGAGATCTTATATTGTTATTTATAGATTTGACACCAATAACGACCTCAGTTTGTTTAATGTATATAAAACGGACCCTTTGTTTTTACAACGATTAGACACAGGTACCGATGGCTTAGAGAGAAACTGAAGCGGTTCTGTATTTTAAAGGGAACACTTAAATCATCTTCATTTGGCTTCCAGGATACCAAATACAAAAATTATATTTCAGATTGATGCGCCAAGTAGCCACAACAGCACTTTCACAAAAGCGCTAAACATCTCTTTCCCGGCGCATTCGCATCGTTTCATACAGAGCTCTAAACACTTCCGCGCCTTCCTCGAGCCTTAAAGGGGTCATGAAACGATATCCGGTTGGAATTTTTGATTATAATGCAATTAAATGCAAAGGTGCAAGCGAGCTGGACAAAAATGACGAAACTTTTCATGACTTTGCAAAATCGTTCTGCTCCTAGTTCGACCCAAAGTATACTCGCACAGACCGTCACTGATTCAGAAGCTTCCTTGTCGTGGTGAAATCGGTAGGATAAAAGGGGACTATTTCTTTAGGTCTTGCCTTCCCAAAACTTGATGACGTGATTGTGGAATAAATTGATTCTCTCAAAATAACAGTGCAAGTATCGGGTTACACACAAACACACGTCACCACCGGCCACAAAAACAATCACACTTAGTAACACAATCACAGCAGACAAAACACACACAGCACTGTGTAAGTGTTTTGCCTGCTGAGATTGTGTTACTAAGTGTGATTGTGTTTGTAGCCGGTGGGTGACGTATGTCTGTGCGTAACCCTATCCTTGCGTTATTATTTTGAGACATGAATAACCAACTCGCCCAAGCTGCCATTTTGTCCAGCTAAATTGGTTGTGTGCATGTTTATACAGCCTTGAAGTTAATCTGCCTTCAACGAGCGACTTTTCTTTCGGTTGTAGATAGGCAATTCAGCTAGTGCAGTACAACCCCTAGACTGGGGTTTGTAACGTGCACCACGCAGTAGTGATACACAACCGCGCGGAGGTACGATGCTCATCCAGATCAAAACGGGCACGGGGGGGATTGAACCCCCTGGGTTCTGCAGCGCGAGCTTCCGCTCCACGTGCTCCGAGCTGGTGTGCGCTAGACCGCTCGGCCACCAATCCCCCGTAATTGTGAGATCGAAACCACCCGCCTGACAACAGTTGAGCGCGCCTCATGGATTGGACACGAGAACTGCGTTAGCACTCGACTTCGGCTCGTAACAATCAGTGCCTCGGCAGACACTCGTTTAGTGGCTGGTGTACAACCATTGCGGTGATAAAAATAGCCAAACTCTAACAATGCCTGGAGTTTAGCGCGTGTTTTTTACTTCCCCAGCCCCAGCGCGTGGGTATGGTTAACGTTGGCCGCATAGGAGAGGCACCAGACCTCGTTGCCGCTTGTTGTGGCTCCAAGTTGAGGGGATGAACGAAATTCATATTTTTAAAAACCTTTTGGCGACCGACATTGCCTGGAAGAAGAAAAAAAAAACTAATCAAGTTTATTCAGTTTTTAACGTTAGGAAGTTATTTTAAGTAGTATTTAGCAAAAGTAGAAAAATCGTTCATGATTCCCTTAAACTGGGGTCACACTGCTTATACATCATACAAAAGATAGTCTGCAAACATCAGACACCGCCATCTCCATGGTTAGAATGCCGCGTGTCAAGTTTCTTCTTGAACTCGCTGACATGCGGCATTCGAAGCACCGATCTCGTGGTGACTTCTATTCGAATCGGTTTGCAGACTATCTTTTGTATGATGCATAAGCAGTGTGAAACAGATGGGAGCAAAAGCTGCGTCGCGTCGCGCCGCCGGAAGGCGTAACCACAGCAACCTTCGCCTGCGCCGTGACGTGGCGGAGCGGCACTCGGCCAAGTCATAGCATCAGCGACGGTTGCTATGGTTACACCGCTCGGCGGCGCAACGCGACGCGATGTGCTCACATGTGTTTCTCGCTTTACCCGAGCAGTCAAAAACGCTGCACGCGTTTTCCTCACAAGCGACACGCGCAAGGCAGTTTAAGCCTTTGGGTCGGGTGTCATATACAGTGGTAGGTTCGAGTCAAATGCTCGTAATATCCAAATTCACAGGACAAAAATACAATTCATTTCTACGAGTGTTTTTTTTTTTTTTTTTTCAGGAAATTTTTTAGTTTATTTTTAAGCACCAAGAAAGGATATGTTCTGTAGAAGATAGTCTTGGTAAGACTCGCCACGGCAATTGCACGTAAAAGATTGTAGCGGGCTGATTTTATTTTTATCCGTAGAAAGTCAGATAGAGTTGTAACGCTATTCTCGTTAATGTTAGCTGTGATGTTATGATTCAGTCTATTCCAAATAAAAGAGTAGATATAGGACCCGGAGTGGGGCAATGAGGGTCCAGGGGAGTCTTTCGGGTTGTTCCCGTGGCGGTGTCTCCATCCTGTGCTGCACAAATTGTTGGCGTTTACTCGCCCCATAGCGCAAAGCAATGTGGAAACAGATTTTTGTGTAGCGAAGGTCACGAATGTTTTAAGTAATTGTGACCCAAACTTGTTGTTTTTGCAGGCGGAGATCGCACGCCGACGCCAGCAGATTGAGGAGAACGCTCGACTCCACGACGAGCTCTACAAGTTGGCTCGCTTGCGGGAGAGCACAGACCTCGGTGAGAACCGCAGCAAGACACGGACAATTGTTTATACAAATCGTAGCTTGGCGAGTGAAACTACGATGTCTGAACGGCGACTCCGACTTGTGTCCTTAGAGTTTTATTTCGGGGACAGCCTATTAATCGAACTGTCTCCGAAAACGGCACGAAAGAACGGAATACGAGTCATTGTGGGAATTCTGTAGGTTGTCACAATCCGCCGGGTGTCACTGCTTTTTAGGTAGCCCTAAAGCACCTTGACAAAATTCACGCTTTGAGTTTTCGTGCGAAGTCACAAGGAACGTGCTACGAGCGAAAACAGCGCCGCCAACGGCATCAAAGGTATTCTGATTTGTTGCCCCGTCATTCGCTTCCAATGGACGCACGAGGCATTCCAGATTGGTGCACATCTGACACGTCGCCACTTGTAATATAAAGGCAAACAGATTAATGAGACTTAAGTGTGTCTTGGGTGTCTAATTTTTGTTTCAGCTAGTGTTGTTTTTTTTTTTTTGTTTTTTTTTTCAATTGTCTGGTTGCAGTACGAGTAGCAGCGGAACAGGCGTTTGTCGCATACACCTCCACCATTGCGCCACCGGTTTGTAGATTTACAGTTTTGAAGTTGAACATCGAGACATTAAGGAAAGAAAATGAAAGCGCAATAATTTGTAACCAGGGCCGTCTTCGTTTGAGAAGAGTTTTACTTAAAAAAACACTACAATGAAAAATAAATATTTTGAAAGGTTATTTGGGGCACGTATTTCTTTTTCTTAATTTTTACACGGAAAACATTTTTTTTCGCGCATTATTTACGTTGTTGAGCGCAATTTAGGTGGAAGTCACGGCCCGCTCTAAGCGCCTCCAGCAGATCAGTGGCCCCGCCCATTACTACTAGATTTGTTTGGTTGCTCGGCTGATGACGTTAAGAAGACTAGTGTCTCCATTTCGCGACATCCGGTGCGTCTAGTCTGGCGTCGGACACCGCCTGTTAGTTGTTTAAGCAGACGCGCGGTAGTTTCGGCATCGTCTGCTATTTCACCACCGTTTATCCTCGTCTGCAATGTCTGTAAGACGAGGACATTAAAGCTGCGCGTCGGCGTCCGTTCTCGCCTTCGACCGTCTGCTATTCTGCCCGTATAAAAAAAAAAAATCTGTAACGCTCGCAAGACTCGACCATGAAAGCGGCGTTCTAAGGTTCCATTATGCGCGAACGACGGTTCAGTACAAGCGTCTGTCAGCGTATGTCAATGTGCGGTAAAAAGCGACCGAGAAGGCTAAAAAAAGCAACGAAATAAATATGCAGGTATTTGAGCTTCTATGTACTTCTTTTTTTTTTTTTTTTTGCCCGTGGCATTTGCGAGCAAGGTGAGCGAGCGTCAGGGCGCACAATTAAAACGTGACCTAAAAATAATCGCTTTTGCAGACTAACCTATCACCCTGCATCGCACCTCTTCTTTTGGATTATTTATTAAAACAACATCACCACCACCACCACGCCAGGTGCGCTACAAAATTGGGAGCTACTTGTCTTTCGTAGCGAAATGACGGGAACATACCTGGACTATCTGGATGTGAGCCGAACGCCCGATTGCCTCCAACCAAATGGCTCGCAAATTCTAACCTGCGTCTGTATCTTGGGTATTGAAACCATGGTTGCAACTGTGACGGTTTCACAATTCACAAAGCAGCGAGGCCGCATTTACGGAAACCTGCATCTTTATTCAACATCAGCACACTCAGTAGAACAAATCAAGCGAGATCGAGCAACGCAGTCGACGTGGGACGCTAGAGTTAGGCTAGTCCCGCTAAGAAAACAGGCACCAGCACAGCGCTTCCCAAGGCTCGTATTTGCGATAGTGCTTTGCTCCAAACTCGCTCGGTTGAGATCTTACTCTAAACAGCTCGGTGAACGCCAGAACGACTCGCACTCACAAAAAGAAACGAGCTCAACGAGCTACACCCGTTGAGCGCACCGCAAACGCCAACAGCCATGTTTGTCATCGTTTGAAACCGAAGCGGAAGCTTAATCTCAGGTTATTTTTGAAAACAATAATGACTCTACCTACATTATTTGTTTCTCAAACATAAACAAAATAGTCGATTAAAATACTATTAGGGCACGGAGATACAAATTTACAACAAACCTTTCACACATCAATCATCTCTCTATCCAGTGAGATATGTAAGCACCTTGTAAGCACGGTGCGGGGCTTAGCGGGATGCGACCTCCATCCACAGAGTTATGATAATGTACGCTAGAGGTTCAACTGGCGTTGCTGCAAATTTTGTGTTGCTGCAAATTGAAGCAGATAGCAACCAGTGAGAAATTGACTTCCGGTAATGCATTTCTATGGGAAAAAGCGAGTGTATTTTCTGTCTGCACTCGATTATAAGAGCAAATATCACGAATAATTCGTAGGTACTAGGTAGCTTAGTACATTTGTCAGCCACGCAGACGAAATAATTGGTCAGTTAAGGCGTATTTATTCGAAATTCGTGGCATGAAAAACGGTGCTAAAACCACTTCGTACATGTATTTACGTGCACTGTCGGACACTGTTAGCGCGAACACGGTGACGGCGCTTTCTAGCATGGGGATATACATGCCAAACGAATGAAGGACATGTGGAAAACCAAGATAGACGGCAATAACTATGCAGTAACACTGGATAAGTAACTCCTTGTGCATGCATACGATCGAAATAAATCGGAAGCCACGTAATATAGTCCAATTTACGATAAATAAGTACTGAGCTTTATTCTTTCTGCTCATGATTACGTGCCAAGATGCTTGTTCTGAGTTCAGATCATCACCCGCACCACACTCTCCAAATCTTTGCAGATAGGGGGAAGCCAGATAACAGCTAGGTGCTCGATAAAAACTGCCCGACATAGGAAATAATAAAGAGACACACCTTTGTAGCCAAGATACTTTATTTTTTAAGTTCGAATGCTTTTTAACCGATCGTAAAAATGCACGACGCCGTCGTGCGACAAAGTCACTTTCATATAGTGACAGGACGGGCATATGACTAATATATAAGCGCCACCGGAATGCTAGCAAACCTTGAACACACTCTAAATTCCTTTCGATCGTTAGTATGCTTAGAAGCGTCGCTCGTTTTTACATACCCATGGAACAGAGCTTTGGGCCTGAAATATAGCGAAGGTTAACACCGCTCAGTGGTAAAGAAAAATGATGTAACTAAGGCAATTACACTTCCACAATATTAATAAAGGTACATACTATCCGGTACAACCGAAATAACAAGTTATTCATGTTGTTTTCCGGCGAAGAGACAAAATTTACGCGTGTTTTCCCATAGGAATGCACAGGAGCACCGCAAAAGTAGACTGGTTGCTGTCTGCTTCAATTTGCCTCCCGGAAATCGCATAGACCCTATAGCGCCAGTTGAACCTCTAGCGTACATTATAATAACTCTATGCCTCCATCTTCTGTGCCTAAATTGCGTCTAGTGGCGTAAATATTGCTCGGGAAAATATTTTTTTTAAAATTTCTTTTATAATATACGTGTCACTTTAAAAAGAAAACTTCGATTGCAATGTTTCTTTAACGTTTCTAAAAGGTTTCTAAAAGAGTGCGCCGACAAAGCTACCGTTGAAAAGGATGAGGCACGCGAATATTGCGCCTCATTCGCTGGCGCACGATAGCACGACGGGTCTTTTCTTTCAGACGGTCTTAGGTAAGACCGTGTTTCGCACGCTAGTCTAAGACGCATTCCAGGCACCTCAGTGAGGGCGTACAAACAATAAGCGAGTGAACAAACTGCCGTGCGCCAAACACTCAAACAACAGATGGAGCTGAGCCCGGACGCCTTACATCTTGTCTGGATTTTGTGTTGCCTTTTCTTTCTCTATAAGGTTTATTCCCCCCCCCCCCCCCCCCCCTTTAACAGTTGCCTTTAACTCCCGTATGACGTCTTTAGTTTGGTAAGTGCTCCGAAATAAAGGGCTTACGTAAAGCTTGTTACGTAAAATCTACCATTCTGCTCGGCTCGTTTCTATAGGCGACCTGTGTTGTAGATGTTCTTGCTGGCTGCGTACTCCTAGGTATGTGGATGGTACTTTCTTCTCATTTTCCCTTTTATGGATCCTCTGCTGCAAATAGAGTGTCGCTATTCTACAGATAAAACAGATCTAAGTATCGTTAAAGTTGGTTTTGCATGTTTTGGTTTTATAAGAAGAAAACGCGAAGGACGCATCGATATTTCCTAGGAAGCGGCAACCCAATGAACACGTAGACATTTATTTTTGACTGAGATGGACACAACGAATGCCCTCTAGAATACAAGGCCTGCGCCTTTTCCCCCCAAACGTCATTATTAGTGGGTCCATGCAGTGCCGACCAGGATGTAAGATAGACATGTGGGGAAACGGCCCATGGAAGCCTACCGCAGCGCCGTGACCGGATTCTGTACTCGTCCGCTTGTGGGTACCCCCGATTTGCAACAGATGGCGCTGCGGCGAGAAGAAAAAAAAATCGGAATCGGATTTGCGTGGAACTCTATGGGAGAGTGCGCAAAATAAACCGAGGGCACGACAGTCCTCCATTGAAAATTCACGAGAAACAACCTCTGTCAGTTTAGCCGGTCGTCACCGGTCGCCCACCCGGAGTGAGAGTTCGCGGTGCTGCACACAGATGGCGCCACAGAAAAAGAGAAAGCCGAGGGGTACACAATCTGGTCACTCATTTGGCTCTCGTTTCCCCACCTGTCTATCTTACACCCTAATGCCGACTCACTTGCGTGTCAGCACCGACCCCAGTGGGTCGTGCGGCGTCTCAAAACAAGAGCGACGTCAGCACGCGGTGACGGCCAGGTAGATATGCATCTGCCGCTTTGTCTTTCATGGAGCTTCAGCGTGCTTGTCGCTTGGGGCGTGTCGGGGATCCGGTAACGATGACGTCATGAGCTGAATTTTTCTTTTTAGCTTTTATTGACACTACTTAATCTAGATTGAACAACTCTGTTCCAAGACTGTTCTTCATTCAAAGATTTTCTTTTGTGTGTGTGTGTTTGTGGGGCAAATTATATTCGGAAATGTCTTAGCAAGAAAACGTTTTCGAACTTTTTTTGGGTCAGGCTCATTTTTAAATGTATATTTTAAGGCCGTTTCACGTGCAACAATGTTTCGCGGGAAACGAGAGCGCGAGGGCGCACAGGCATCACCGCTATCCCCCTCTCCTGACGTTAAATGTGATAATAGGGAGTTTTAGAATAACGTAGGCAATTTTAGCGCACGCTAGCGCTAAATTTAGCGCTTGTATTAGCGCACGCGACGCGAGAGAGTTTTAGAATAGCGTTTCTCCGTCGCGACGCAAAAGCCCAAGCATCTCGCGCTTGCGACGCAACCAAGATACAGTCATAATTTTTATTTCACACTCGAAATGCTATAAATTTAGAAAAAAACAAGTTTTTTGGTCCAGAGTACCATTTTAGATTTGTTTAAACACGAGAATGCGACGCGAGCGGTTGACCGGTCGTGCCCGCTTGCGTCGCCTCGGCAAAAGAGGTCTCGTGTACTGACCTTCGCACATCGTACCTTCGCCGAGAAGTTTTCGCGCGTCGCAAGCATCATGTTGCCGGTGATCGTTGCCAAACCGAGTATAGTTTCGTCTCGTATTGAAAATCGCAGTCGCGAGGATGCCGCCGACCTCGCACTCACGACGCCGCCAAAGCAGCCGCCGACATAATCCTGGAAGCCGCCATTTTTGCTTAACTCTGCTCGTCTTGGCTTTAGCCAACTTCTCATCATGAATCCTCCTTGGAGAAGCGCAAAGGCTCTTTGCGTACGCACGCTATTTCCGAGAAATAGCGCACGCTAAAATTGCGCACGCAAAGCGCAAAACTTGGTTTGCGTTCGGAGCATGCGCAGTGGCGACGACGCTATTCTTTGCGTGCGCAAAGGTTTAGCGTGCGCTATTCTAAAACTCCCTACTGATTGTTTGGGCGGTGTCACCAACACGTTTCTTCCGAAAGTATTTTACGAGATTTACGGTTTGGCCGTATTTGGCCACCTGTTCGTTCCGCAGAAGAGCTGTACCGTAGCGGCGGCGGTGCCGTGCCCTTGGCCGGTGGCGTGCCGCTGGTTGGCGGTGGCGGCAGCGTCCTGCAGGCCATCGACGAGATCCTGCGCAAGGACTACACGCACCAGCAACACCAGCAGCTTCACCAGCAACATCATCACCAGCAGCAGCAACAGCAGCAGCAGCAGAGGCACGCGCCAGGTTACCCAGGTTACTATAGCAAGGCTTCCTCCCTGTACGCCGCGGGACCCCCATCCTACTCGTCGGCCACCATGCCCTGGTAAGCGAGCCACTTCGAACGCGGACGTATGGGGCCAGCCTGGAATGGGCGGCTCTCGCTTTGTGTTTCTATTCGTTTTTGCTTTGCGGTTTATTCTTGTTTGCTGTTGGTTGATGGAGGTTTAAGACGCTTTTAGCGGATCTCTAAATGGTTATCTTGAGCGTTCTTCGTACGGATCATCGGAGTGTCCCCCAAAATGGCAACAAAATACGTCCCCGCCGCGAAGTGCTATAAAGCGAGGCCATAGGTTGAAATATTTGGTACATTTATTAAAAAATTAAAACCGTTTACAACTCCCTGTAACGCCGAATTAGAGCGCAGCTCTTGAGGAGGAGGAGGGAAGGGTACTGGGGGTCACGCGTTCTCGGGGGGGGGGGGGGGGGGGCGGTCGCGCGACCTGGGGAAGAAGTCACGTGACCTTGGGGGGTCGCGTGACCTGGGGGCGTCAAGTGATTTGGGGCGTCACGTGACCTCAGGGGTCACGTGACTTCGGGGGGGGGGGGGGTGACGTGACCTGGGGGGTCAGGTGATCCCCCAGAGAAATTTTTCCGCTAGATTTAGCGGGGAAACTTTTTACGCTAGATTTAGCGGGAAAATTTTTCCACTAGATTTAGAGGGGAAATTTTTCCGCTAAATCTAGCGGGGAAATTTTTCCGCTAGATTTAACGGGGAAGTTTACCCATAATGCACCGCGCGACTACGCCGACGGCGACGCCGACGCCGACGGCGACGCCGCTCAAGCCGGAAGCGGGCGCCTAAGAGCTGCGCTCTAAAAAGGAAAAATAGCAATACAAGTAGACTCAGGACACAAGAAACGCGTTTTGCGCGTTTAGTTTGTTACTCGTCTCTTCCGTCAATTTTAACGCTGATTTGCATTTTTAAGGCACTGTGGGTTGCCGCAAGAATGGCGATAGGTGGAGGGGACGTGCGTCCCGTGCCTCGCAGCGTCTCAAATTGTCGTTGGTAAAGTTTCCACCGACTGGACTGTCCACAGAGCGAATTCGTACAACGGACCATTCTGCACCGACCACCAACACCAGGATTGCGGCAGATCACAGTGTTTCCTATCTCAACACGAGGCCGAAATTGAGGGTTACAAATAAAAAAACTTTAAAGGGAAACTGAAGAGGTTCTTGATAAAAACGAGTTAGAGGTGAATTCTAGAGTATTTTTATCCCGTGAATCTGAATATCACGTTTGTTTTCTCCTTAAATCTAACTAAATGGGAGAAAATGCAAAAAAACGTCCGACACTGCAGTCGTTAAGTCATAAAATGATTGTCCGGCTGCCAAGCGCATGTCGCTCGTGTGGGCAGCGCATGCAATTGCAGGCTCGCCAGGTATTAGCGGCGAGTTGTTTTGGTGGCACCCTTCTATGGTTCTCTATTCTGACGTCATTACCTCGCGAACAACTAGTTCGATGGTGTTTGTAATGAACATGGTGAAAGCTTGGAATCATTGCGCTCTGAAACCAACGCTGCCAACACCGTCCGTCAAAAATAAAGTTCTTACATTACTCTTGCCCCCCCCCCCTCCCCGATGAGAAATTTTTTGCTGACGTCATAATCAGCATTTTGCCAATCATATAAGGCCGACCATAGTGACGCATGATTGGCTTAGATAGGCGCTGAAGATTCGCGGAGATTCCGAAAACTCCTTTTGTGACGTAACGCTCCTAGAACTCAGGAGTACTTTGAAAATGATTTTCTGCATCCTCCGTGCACCGAATATAAAAATAATCTCTATATTCGTGATCCTGGAGGTCAAATGAAGACGACCTAAGCGTTTTTACTCAAATACAAAACCGCTTCAGCTGAACACGTACTGGTCACTAGTCACAGATGCGAGTCACTCTCTCCCCCCCCCCCCCCCCCCACACACACACACTTCCTTACAACGCTCTACACTCTAAAAAAAGCCCGTGCGTCTACTTTCCCGCACAACACTCGGAGAGCCAATCATCACAACTTACGGAGGCAGCTCAGCGAATGACGATGCCGAAACATATGTTTAGACAAAAAAATGCAGTCTGAGTTGTGACATTAAGCAATGCAAGCGTGACATTTTGCATTGCTTAATGTCACAACTCCGTCTGCGTTTTTTGGTCTAAACATATGTTTCGGCATCGTCATCCGCTGAGCTGCCTCCGTAAGTTGCGCTGATTGGCTCTCCGAGCGTTGTGCGGAAAAGTAGACGCACGGGATTTTTTAGAGTGTACTACTATACTCTGTTTCACCTTATGATGTACCACAGGAAAGGCTACAAGCACGAGTAACTTGCCTAGGCCCCGTACTCAGGGCATTTCTCGTCGGCACAAGCTCTCGCGCATTAAGGGCAGCTGCAAATGCTATGAGCTCGCGCGTCTAGCCTTCGCTGCGGTACAACATAAGGTAAAACGGAGTATTAGCGGCGAGATGTTTTGGTGGCGCCCTCCTATGGTTCCCCCATGTGACGTCATTACCTTGCAAACAACAAGTTCGATGGTGTTTGTAAGTAGCATGGTGGAAGCCTGAAATCATTGCGCTCTCAAAGCAACACTGCCAACACCGTCGAAATTAAAGTTCTTTCATTCCTCTTATTTCCGTCGATGGTATACCCTTTCCGACGTCATAGTCAGCTTTTGGGCCAATCGTGGAAGGCCGACCACAGCGACGCTTTCGGTCGCGCACGGGGCTAATACTACCAGCAAGATGGGAAGGAAGGACGTCTTTTTTTTTGTGTCCATTCTCTAGCACGTGCTCGATTCAGCTGCGCGTGCATACTCGAGGCTCACAATACACCGATGCGTGAAGGCTCGAGCTGTATGCGGAACAACCGAGAGAACTCCCTCTGGTCCTGTCCGGGACTGCAGCAGTAGCGCGTCAGCGAGGGCTGCGAGTGCGGCGTCTGATCGGTGGCTCCTCTCTCTTCCCATGGGCAGCTACGAGTACTACGGGGCCGGCGGCGGCGCGTCCCGAGCGGCGGGGCGGACCGGCTGGTTCGTGGCGGAAGCGTCCAGTCCCCCCGGCCGCTTTCCGGACTGCAGCGCCGAGGACAAGAGCATTGCGATGATAGCCTCCACGTTCCCGGCGGACGCCCTCAGCCCGGCCGACTTCGACTACTCGCCTTTCACGACGGACACCGAGGCCGACTACGAGCACACGCCGGCCATGCCCATCCTCCCGGACATGCCCACGCGCTCGCGCAGGCTGCTCGAGAACCTCGGCAGCGCGCCCATTATGCCGCAACCCGCACGGAGGCAGCAGCAACAGCAGCAGCAGCAGCACGCGAGATCCGGTGAGCGCGGCATGCACAACATACCGAATGAGCAAATTGGCGTGTTCGGCGGGGTGGGCAGCGTTTGCCCACTTCTAGCTTGTCAGAAGATCTCGCTTCACTCAAGGTCGGTTACGAGACGCAAGTGAGAGCATGGCCCCAGGCTGAATCTTCTCCGAGACTATATTTTATCAAGAGCATGTCCACGAGAAGAAATAATTTTGAACTGTCAAGCAGAAGAAACTTGATGTTCGCAAAAATGGCGTATTGGCCAAACGCTGCTTACCAGTTCGTTGAAAAAGAGCGAAACTTGGGCATCTTGCAGGAGCCGCTAATGCAATATTCTGTTGGAGTCTGAACTTCCGGAAATGCGTAGTTTATGGGGACCTTTAGCAAACCTTTGCCGTGCTCCGCGTACCGCACTATCGGAGCCTTTGAAGCATGCTTTTAAGCGTGTGTCTCGCGGTCACGGTATCACCCGGGCGCGCGCTTAAAAGCATGCTTCAAAGGCTTCGGCAGTGCGGTACTCGGAACGCGGCAGCGGTTTGCTAAACGTCCCTTATGTTTACTTTATGGTAGACATGATTTTTCTTTTTTCGCTTTGCGTTCCTAGTTTTCTTTTTTATGTGTTGCAGAAAAGAAAAAAAAAAACAGGAATTGAACATTATACACACCTATCTGTAGCTGTATAAACGCCCGTCAGGTCGGCAAGACACTCTAAAATCACCTAAGTCCTCGATCGAGCGATAGAAATCTTATTGAACGTACACTTTATTATACGACACAGCCAAAACTCCTTTATTGCCGCTTTCCTCTACGATCCCAGTAAATTGTAGACATACCTGCCGTTAACATCCTAAAAACAAAATTTGGCGCAGTTGCCAGCTTCCATAGATTATAGTCCGTTGCAACTCAAGAAGGTAGGGCGAGGGAAAAGAAGGCAGGGGAGGAGGAAGCAGACGAAATGCTAAAGAAAGGAGGAGGGTTCCCCTTTTCTCTCCCGCGTTCCGCCTGCTTCCTTCTCCCCGGCCTCCCTTTCCCTCGCCCTACCTTCTTGAGTTGCAACGGACTACGGGACTATCGAACAAGCTGTTCCACGATTCTGGGAAGGTTGCTTCTCTGCAAAGAGAGTCTTAGGGTGGGAATGCCTACTTTAAGCACGTCCGTTAGATCTTATTTGATCCCATATATTCAACTTTTATTGACGACGGGAGTGGCCCGTTCACACACTTGCCACTCCTTAGGACCTTGCAACCTCGCAACCTCTTGTGATCTCTTGCGACGAGAGGACATATTGGACCGCAAAACCTTCGTCCTAGCCAAATGAAGTTCCAGGGTCACCTCACCGATGGCGCCAGCGTGCCAACACGTTCTCTCGTCCTAAGAGATTTTAAGAGGTTTTAAGGCGCAATCTTCTGAGAAAACGCAAGCGCGTGAACGGGCCTTAAGGCGGAACCGTAATTTTAAGATTTTGTTTCTAATAACTTACTCTGTTAGCGTGAAAAAAACATATGCAGAAGCAAAATTAACAGCAAAATAAGACCCTGCCCGTTTCGATCTGAATGAGCATCGTACCGGCGTGCGGCCGTGTATCACTACTGCGTGGTGCATGTTAAAGACCCAAGGTTAGCGGTTGTGCCGCACTGGCTAAATTGCTCATCTACACCTGAGACACCAGACGCCCACTGAGGCAGACTAACTTCCGGCTGTATAAACATACACACAACAATTTGCTTGCTTTCCGTGAAGAAACACTGTTATATGCAGAAGCGAAATTAACAGCAAAATAAGACTCTACTTGATTTGCTTGCTTTTTCATTCACGTCAGCCACACGATAGAGTAACAACAAAGCGCAAGCTACGTTTCCAGGCTCGTTAAATGAGCCCTTTAGCAGCTTTGTTTTTTACGCTCGGGCGTCACTAAAAGAAAGCGTTTGGTGACAAGCGCCAAAGCGTCACATCGCTCGAGTCGTCAAAAAACGTTTTTGTTTCCTCGTCAGCGATCGAACACCTGCGTTTCTTTCGCTGGTGGTACGAGGACTAAAAAAAGGCGTCTCTCGTATCTTTCCGCTGCAGCGTCCGAAGCCCTGTATCGCGACCGGATGGAGGGCCCCCGACACGGCAGCCCCGCGGGAGACCCCTACGCGGACCAGAGCGCCGCGCTGCGGCAGGGGCGGAAAGCGCAAGTAAGAACGTACGCACACTTCTCTCTTACTGCTCCCCTCCAAATCCCCCAAGGATGACTGCGTCTCTTTCTCTCAACATCCTAAAAACTTCCAACGTGGAATACGTTAGAGACCTGGGTATGCCTGAAAAGACATACATAATGAAGCAACACGGAAAAGCGAAGCGGAGGCGGCGTCATCCGCTAAATTCAGCAGGCTTACGTTCCGCCAATTTGGACGACGGTGGTCACGTGACGTGACCGCATGACCACGCCAGAGCACAGTCCGAGACTATAACGTATTCTACGTACAAGAAGTTTTTCAGGGATAAGCAAAACGGGGTGAAAGATTTTTTTTTTTTTTTTTTTTGTCGTAGAGGGCGTTGCGGATTAGTCTCGTTAGTGAGCCGCTGTCGGGTCGCTGCAACTTCCGTCGGCATTCGCGGTGCGTCGTGTGGGTGCGAGCTCATTAACGCGCCAGTGTTTTAAGCAGCTCAATCCGTGGGCACATGTTTCAGCTGCGCTCTCTCCCATTTCCTTTCAGAACTCATCCCTCCCCAAGAGCTCACAAAAGAAGTATTTCTTTCCAGTAAAGCAAATTCTTTTGACCCGAGACCCCAAGGATCGTTCCATCAGTGGTGAGTAAGCTGCGTGTCACGGAACAAAAAAAAAAAAAAAAAAAGAACTGCGCGACGATTACACGTCGTGGTGCGTTTAGACAGCGGCAGAAAGGTCGTGACGTCAATTTTTCAGCCAAACTTAGCGGGAAAACTGAATTGGTGCATCGGGCACGTCACGTCAATTTTTGCCGCAAAATTTAGCGGGAAACTTGAACTTCTCCGTAGGTCCCGTGACGTCAGGTCATGTGACATTAATTTTCCCGCCAATTTTGGCGAGGAAGCTGTTTCGTTTCCGCTCCCGCCGTCGCGGAACCAGGGAACGGGCCACTAACAGCTGCCGCTGTGAAAAACTAGTTTACTCTGTTGAAAACGCAGCGCGTCCGCTTGCAACAACTGAGTTTAAGGAGTAACGCTTTGTATTATTCAGACTTGGTGTAGAGTGCGCTATTGTTCACAGCCTAACCTCTTGTCAATTGAAAAGCCAGGGAAGTGCTGTCCGTCTATTTCCACGCTCACTGACAGCTCAGGAAACTCCAAGCGCGGATGATTCTGTTCGCGCTTCGTCATCTGATGCCGCAATCTGACTTGCTGCCAAGCGTAAATGAATGCTCGGACCCCAACCTGCCTTTCTGAACGTGGTAGTAACTGGAGTGAAACAAAATAATTCATATATATAACGAGAAATCGTAAATAAAAAAAAACATATAAATAATATTTTTGTAGAAATTAAGGATCCTGGAATTCACCAATTCACCGCGGTGCAAACTTCTGTTCCAGGGAATGGTCTGGGCATGAAGGTTGTCGGAGGCAAGGTGATTCCCGGAAGCAATGGAGTTTTAGGCGCATACGTTGCCAAGGTGTACGCCGGTGGTGTGGTCGAGACGCTGGGCGAAGTCAACGAAGGTCGGTCTCCAGAGCTGCGGGACACGCTCCCTGGCGCCGTGTCGCGGTACCAACGTGCTTTATGTACGCTTGCTTTCAGGTGACCAAGTGCTGGAATGGAACGGCGTGCCGTTGACCGGTAAAACCTACGAGGAGGTGCAGCGAATTATCGCCTCTTCTACGGACGAAGTGGAAGTCGTCATCAGAAGGTAACGGCAGCCGTTGTTATCCTCCACGCCCCAATCGATTGTGCGTTAAGCAAACGCAGAGCCATATAGTGAGAGAGTTCGGTCAACGGGTGGAGCCGACGGGAGCCGGGGTGGAGCGGCGAAAGCGTCGCCGCCGTCAGCGCCGCATATTCCGCCCGTGATGATCCTACGAACTAAGAATGAGCTAGGATGACCTTGGATGACTCGCGTAGCGCGGCGTGGTGGAAAAGGGGAGTTTCAAGGTGTCAAGAGCATATACTGAGCCAGCAAAGGTGACACTGACGAGAAAAAATGTCCCGTAACACGAGACGAAACTTCGAATGTGGGGTGCGTGTTCGGGGTTTGGGTCAAAACTCCCATGGTTCGAATCCGCAGTTTTCGCCGTCCACTCCCTCGTGGCCGCGCGTGCAATCGAAAGAAAGATTGAGTGCGCTCTGAATGTCGCAGTGACGACACCGTCAGGCGCGTTCCCCTTTCAGTTACGAAGAGTCGCAAATTCGAACTCGAGCGTGCTAAAATAAAATACTACTTGAATACATCCTTACCCAGAAATCGTGATTGGAGGGTATTTGGTAAGCTCATTTCCTTCACTAGTCGAATATTTGTGGCTATTGGTTGGTAAGAAAAGCTGTCAATCATCGCGCCCAAGGTCATTGAAATAATATTGGCCAATGACGTGCCCTTTATTTTCGCTCTATTCTTACCAATTAATGACCACAGCGCATGCGCAGAAGCTACAGCTCACGCTAATCTGCCTTCTGCGCTCGCGCAGTGCCCACAGCCGGTCTGGGCAAACGCGGGCTTGTTCGGAAACAGCGTGTCAGTCTATTCGCGACTCCAGCGACCTATAGTGGGCGCCGCCACCAAACAAACATGGCGGCTGAGTCCAGGCCGCGTCGGCTCGGCCGGGCCGCCTGAACGGGTGGCGCATTCAATTTAACAGATTTTCTTTTGTTTAATGCCCAATTTTATAGGTATTTTAACTGCGACGGTTAAGTGTAGCCGGTGCACATACGCTTGCAGTGCATAGTTTTGTTTTCCCGGTGTTTTTTTTTTGTTCTTTTCATGTCAAACTTTCGTTTCGGAGATTTCGTTCAAAACCGAAACTATGGGCTCCGGAGAGACGGTAATAGATTCTAATCAGTTCTGATTAGCTAAAGAAAGCGGCGATGACTACCAGAATTGTTCCACCGAGAGTAATTTTCAGCTAACTAGCATGCCTCGACCATGCGACTGATCTGTCCGCGAAATCGAGCTTCTGTGCGTATTCGCGTTGAAGAACCAATTACAGTCGTCTGCTCGGTTAACAACACAGGCTGCAGGAAACATACGAAAATTAAGCAAGCACTTCTTGAGCCAAGGAGCATGTTAACACGCTGGCGCCCCACTAAGCAGCTGGTACTCGTATTTTAATTGAGGTTTTAATAGCAATCGAGAAGTCATTTTGACGAATATGCGGGTTATGTATTATATTATGTACCATGTCCCACTAAATCTATATGAGTATATTCCTCGGGTTGAAATATGATCTTAGTTGACTAGCTATTAGGTGAACTGCTGAATAAAAGTATATTTGACAGACAGAGAGATACTACTTGAACTTAGCCAAATCTAGCTGGTAGCACGGAGCGGAATGCGGACAAACTGAAGAGAGACTTCATTGGAGATTCACGCAGAACCTTTCTGCACTGAACTTGACTTGGAATCCTGAACGGAAAAAATTAGTATTTTTTTGTGGCCGGTCACCCTGAGACATGTAGACGTATACTGCTGCTGACTTCGACGGGGGTATAATATAAATATTGGAGGCGCGATAGATCATATTGCCGTGACAGTTAACTTTGCGAGACGCGTCCCCCACCTTTTGAAAGCAGACAATTTCCCTCATTAATCGTATGCAGCGAGCAGGTTTGTCTGGAATCAAGTAGTTGCTAAATCAGCCCAACTCTTTCGGTGTGGTCCAGAGGCTTTTTCGGCGAAAAGCAGCCAAGATGAATAGCCAACCGGCGTGGGTGGCTCAAACTTGCAGCTAATCGAACACAACCAAACTCAAGAAAAGCAACTATCGAACCTTCCCATTCACTTGACTGCAACATTGGTGTTCCCTCCAGTGAAACACCTCGTCTGTTGTCCTCAGTCCACTGTTCTACAAACGTATAAAGAAACCACTCATCAGTTACCAAGTAGTCGTCACATTGAATGTGATTCGAGAAAGAGAAAAAATCAAAACGTTTTTTCGTTATTCCTACCCATCCGAGAAATGGAAAGCACGCGACCGCGTGTTGGGGAATAAACGGGCTTTCAAACAAGTGATAAAATGGAACAATCTACTGAGGCTTCACCACACTAATGAACACTCAAGCAAACTTAAGAAATTTTCGGACCTTCGCCAAACTACATTGTTCGCCACCGCGCCCACAACAAGTGTCCGCGAAAGTCACCAAAGACGCGGAGGGGCGCGGAGCGACCTGGTCCGGCTGGTTCCCGGTTTTCCCGCTTGGTGGCGTCCGTTTAGCTGGAGTCGCCAACAGTGTGCACTGCTTGTGGAGAGGAGGACGAGACGGCTGAGCACTTGATACTCTACTGTAAAGGGCTTCACCCTATGCCTACCGAAGACAACATAGATTTAATAAAGTCATTGGGGTTTAGAGACAGCGAAGGGAGAGTGGATTTCAAGACTGTAGAGATTACCAAGCAAAGATTAAGTGAATGGTGGCAGAAATCGAGAGAAAACTAGGTATTTTCTTAATCACTGATGGCAAGGGGGTTTCATAGCCTCACTTTCTTTGCACTGCGGAGTGAATATAGATTTCACATTTAAATATTCTAAGCTTAAATGGTAAAACAAAATGGCTAGGTGGCGTAAGCTACCGCCCGATCCAAAGGGCTCAGCCGTATTCATCCATCCATCCATCCATCGCGATTACGGCTCTGAGCAAACGTATACCACGAGCAAATCCTCAGCTCCTGGCGCACCTCGAGCGTGTGTTTGTTTACCCGCCAAATCCGCTCACGTGCTTTGATTATCCCTCGATGTCGACCAATAACGCCGCGCTCGGCTGCCTGTCATCGAGCGTTGTCTGCACGTTATATAAATTGCCCTTTGATTGTCATTCTCTTCTTGCGTCCGATATGCCAAAGATAAATCGTGGAACACTTCCGTACCTCTTAAAGGTGCCTGGATGACGCTAGCGGGCGCCTGATTCAGGCACTCGTGCGGTGGAGTGGTGGATACCTCTTTACTTGAAAGCCCATCGAGGTCGTGTGTGTTCCCACGCAGCGACTTCAACATGCTAGAGGGCGGCAGGAGGACACCCAGACCAGGAGGTCTGGCACCCAGCAAGCCCGCCCGGAGCAGCCGCGCCCTGGACTACGATCGGGGCTTGGACGCTTCTCCCGACGAAAGCTCAGGTTGGTCACGTGTTTCATTTTACTCTCGGACTCGTTCTTCCGAAGTATGCCCGACGTCAGACATGTCCGCACCTTGATCAGCCGAGGAACATTTGTCCTATACGCCTAGGACTCTTTGCCTGCTCCAGTTCACAGCTGTTGGCGCTGTCCCAAGATATTCCGGGATAGTAGCGGAAAAATAACCAGCTGCAATGAGAATAAATTCGTTGGTGGCTGGAGCCCCAACATGCAGTAGAGGATAAGGGATGCGACAGAATTCAGTGACTCTGTAGGAGTTGTGAATGATACCTCACGATGAAAAACTTCACCTATGATCTGTAGAATAATAACGATTCAATTGAAGCCCCCGCAAGAGCTCAGAGCAGCAGGTGTCGTTTTTACCAAGAAACCGAACTTTTGGGGATCTCCGAAGAGATTAAATTCTTCAAAATAATGTCTTGGCCGTTTTGATGAGGCTTCCGACGTTAATCAACGAAACGTCGGCAGCCGCCCGGAGGCTTTCCAGAGATTTGTTTTGAAGTTCGTCCTATCAGCTTCGGCTTCCTTCGTGCTTCCTTCCATGTCATTGCAGGATGTGCCGTGTGATCGCTCCCTACAAAGTCGGCACTTTATGAAAGTTCAGCTATAAGACTGCGTTTCATGAGCACCAGGCCGTATGAAGTACTTTCAAAATGTCCCCAAAGTAAAGGTGTTCTTTTACCGTATGGTGGCTCAGAGTACTTCTCCCGGGTAGATGAGATCACTGGTGAACATAAAAGGCTACACTCTAAAAAGGCCCGTGCGTCTACTATCCCGCACCACACTCGAAGAGCCAATCACCGCAACTGACGGAGACAGCTAAGCGAATGACGATGCCCAAACATATGTTAAGACAAAAAAAAAAAGCAGTCTTGAGTTGTGACATCAGGCAATGCAAAACGTCACACATGCGTCGCGTAATATCACAACTCAGATTGCGTTTTTGGTCTGAACATATGTTTCGGCATCGTCATTCGCTGAGCTGCCTCCGTAAGTTGCGGTGATTCGCTCTCCGAGTGTTGTACGGGAAAGTAGACGCGCGGACTTTCTTTAGAGGGTGACGTACTTTCGCTGCAGTCAGCTTCTCTGACTGTCCATCGGACGGCTGAGGCATCGCCGAGTGACGTGCGGCCCTCCCTTCTCTGCCCTTCAGAGGCGCCCCCAGGTGCGTTAAGTCCCGGCTGCGGCGTCTCGCAGTCGGGGTCGCCTCTGCCTCGCGATTCCCTAGCCCCGACTTTGTCTAAGTGTAGCAAGGTAAGAATTTGTGCGTGCCTGCCTCTCTGTGTGGCGTCCGTCTGCACCGGCCCGCGCGGGACGCGCGTGCCTTTGCATGCCCACCTCCGTCGTCGGCCGTCGTCACTCCACGCATTGTCGTCGTCGCCCCGCCGGTCCCCGCCGCTCCGACCGCCGCGCTCACCAGTAAAGCTCGGCCGGAGGCTGTTCGCACTTTCCAGCGGCGATATTCGCAACGGCGTGAATTTGGGACCATTTTCCTACGTTTCTTGTTTCGGCCGCCAGGCCGAAACATAAAGCGCAGGAAAATGGTCCTAAATTCCCGTCCTTCTCGTTTTTGCCGCTGCGGGTGCGTGGCTTCACCTGGACTTGCTACCTACCTTTGACTAGGTGGCGAAAGCCGCCGCTTGATTATGATGGTTCAGCCCCATCTATAATTCTAGCCATCCATTATGTATAGGGGGCGCTGTCACTCAGTCGATACTAGAGTTCCCGTATATGCTACCTACGGTAGCAGAGTTACGCATTCAGCCTCGGCGCGTGGCCGTAGCGCCGGCTTTCCCGCACGAGCTGGATGCTTTGCTCCTCACGTGACTAAATTTGGCGAATAGCGGTGCCGCGGGCGCCGCCGCGCATGGAAAACAGGAGAGGAGGAAAAGGAGGCGGAAAGCAGGGAAACATACGCCGGGGCAGGAGAAACGTCGGCGGAGCGACCGTAAAGGTGGCTTTCTTGCACGCCACCGGATGCTTTGCTCCTCACGTGATGGATCTTCGCGAATAGCGGCGTGGCGGCGCGGGGAAAACAAATGCGCAACTCTGGCTCCCGTAGGGAGCCTATACAGGAACTCTAGTCGATACTAAAACCATAATCGAAACTCCCCCTTTCACCTGCCACCGTTATAAATCAAAACGTGGACGCTGGATTACAGGTCACATGTGTACTCACTGCTTAGTTATCTGCAGCAGATTCAGTTCATGATAACCTCAAACCCAGAAAAATAAAAATAAAATACTTTCTGTGCAGAAACGAAGCGAGGTTTCACATCCGAGCAACTTGCTGCGTAGCAGCGCAGCGCCCCACAGATCCTTATACGCATTCGAGACATCTTTTCGTATCTCATGTGCGACGGTTTGTCAAGTCACCCTGTAGACGACGGTTTGCAATATCTTCAACGATTCTCGTGATTTTGGCGCAATCATTGTTGCGCCTGTTGCGACCGCCCCTGGGGTGCATGTTCACTCAAATTCGGTGAAGTGGACGCTACGCTGGAAAATGCGAATAAACTCTGTGACATAGAACGGCTTGCTATCGTGTCTATAGTATATCGAGACTGCCCCACTCCAAGGAAACCGCAACGAAGGGGCTCGTGACATTTCTCCCCACTACGCTTCTTCCGGTACTGCTTGCTCGAGCTGGAGCGGGCTTAGACTAGATCCACCGTGTGCTGCCTGTGCTTCGAAACGTTGTCTGCGTGTTGTTCGTAGGACCATGTTTTGTTCAGCGAAGCGGGAGCGCCGAGGAGATCTTGTTAAGCGGCGTGACTGTACTCCCATTCATAGCCTCCTAGGAAGCCACGTACCATTTAAGCGAACCCACTGTTAAGCGGCGAGTATTGTGCTGGGCGCAACCTCGCCGCCTCCGCAGGTGCGCACAATGCGAGGTTTCCGGGCTGAGTCACAGCTCCCCTCGGCAGGTCCTCCCTGACGTCTAGCCTACGTTGAGACACAAAGCTGTAAAATATATTTTATTAAAAAAAAAAACTTATTTGAAGTGTGGTACAAATACAGCGTAATACATATTTAGATAAGATTGCAGTTAGGTACTTCACTTAAAGGAGCTAAGTGACTTTTCCATTGCATTTAAAACATCCCATAACGAAGAGCTGTGCTACGATTGCTGATCAACGGATCAGTTTACAACGAGGTTTACAACAATGCTTTGATTGGACGCTCTCCACGTGGAAGAGATTGAGGCAGTAAAAAGAAACCGATGTTGACACTAAACCAACTTGAATTTGCATATTTGTCAACATATTTTTTTAGAACGAACGGTCATTCATTAATGTGACGAGTTTCTAAAGAATAATAACAAAGGGAGTTTCAGCTGGTGCAATTTTATTATAGCATCTTAAACATAATTTAGCCGCCATAATTGTAAACCATGAACCCTTATTCGTAAATTAAAAAGACAAAAAGTAACCAATTAAAATTATTTAACTAACTTAAATAGTTCGACGTAATTTCAAAATCCCGAATGAACGCCCGACTCCGAAAGATCGTCTGCATACCTTACATTTTCTCTGTCCCTGCACCGTTGGCAGGCGTTAATTCGGTCTATCACGGGAGTTCCTTCACGGCCCTGTTTTGGCGTGTTAAGTACCGGAGCTATTGACGTTTCCTTGTCGAGCTGATTGAACGAGTTGTTCGAGGCAGGACCCAGCGATGCATGGGGACCGCTGGGGAGCGCGCGGGCGGCGGCTCGGCGGGGACCCGCTCCCCGAGTAGAGAGAGTGGTTCGGGGGCTCGCGCAAATTCTTACCTTGCTCTCGGTGTGCTTTGTATGTTGGGGTGTTTGCTGCTTTGCTTCTCCTGGACGTCGCTGTTGTGGAATGCGGGCTCGTCCTGTATGTCTGGGGCAACACGGAATGGGCATCCCGGTGTTCTCTGTGTCCAGGGGGTCGACCTGAATGGGGCACGCTGTCGATCGTCGATGCCTGAACCTCGTGTGGGAAAGAATGGTTGTCATCGCAGCCTCGTTAATGTGCGCAGTGTGAACTCTAGCTCTCTTCGAGTTCAAGCTCTATCGACTGTTCGTGTTGTAAAACAATGGATTTTTGTTTTAGAACTTACTCTACCCGTGCCCCGTGTTTATTGCTCTCTCGTAGTTCAGAATTGCCGCGAAGGAGCCTTTGGTTTTCTCTATTATAGCTTTGTCCCACTAGGAGCACACACAACCAACATTTCTTAAAGGCATGTCGGGTACACCTTAGGAACAACTCTTTTTTTTAATTTTTTCTAAACAAACGACACTGATGAGAGTTCTCGTGGCGCTAAAACGCTTATTTTGTTTTCTCAGTTGACAGACACCGGTGATTGTCGGGACAGTGGACTGAGGCTATTGGAGACACTGGAGCGAATTGTTAAGTACTATGTCACGGAGAGACACGTAGCAGAGTTCCCAAATGCCCAAGCTTTCCATCAAAATCCTTGCCTCCCTCAAAGAAAATCTATTATTAAACAGTTCATGGATCGCCGCACTCAATAGCGGGAAAGAAGGGAAACATATTTGTGACGTACTTGTTCCTTGTTTGCGCAGGCGCAGATAAGTGACAGTCATGATGTCACTTCTCTTTCCCCTCAAAATCAGCGGAAGTTTCGGCTTCGGGGGTTTCTGCTAAAAGTCGTCTTAAAGTTACATTACAAAATATTAGCCGTGAAAACAGCTGTTTTGTGTTTGAAGCTAAAAAGATTTTAATAAATCATCTAAAGTCTACTTTGGTATCCATTTCAATATTGGTGTTAATAGCGAGTCAATGTTTGTGCGTGCCGTGGCGTTTGAATAGAATTTCAATGAATATTATTACTTATTTTTTACAGTACATATGCAAGACAGGGAAAATAACTGGGGAGATCCAGGTAGGTGACGTCTGGTTTGTGATTAATCCTTAAACCGAGTGTTCCGCTTGCCCCAATCCCGGAATTACCATAAAGTTGCGTCCGAGAGTGTCAAAAATATTTTTCAGTCTTACTTTACGCTTGTATTGCTCAAATTACCATTTCTGAATCTCGTCACTCTTCCAATTCGGCCATGTGTCATCTGCACCTAAAGTGGCAAATCGTAATCTGTCAAATCGTTCAGGCGACGTTCTTTACTTTCTTTTTTTTTTTTTTTACAATTCATCGATTGATTTCACTGAGTGTTACACATGCCGATGTTTCGACCACGAAGTGCCCCATTTCCTGTGAAGGGCAATATGTGGCATTTCATAGCGTGGTTTTCAGGCAGTCAGAAAACCTTTATTGAGCTACGCGACCGGGGGATGGAGCTTAGAGACGTCCGTCCGTGGCGATGCAGTCTGGGTCTTACGACTACGTCAATTAAAGTTGGACGGAAACTGCCGGTCCGAGATCAATCGGAGGGCATAGTGAGCCTAAGCTAACGAGCCCAAAGTTGGTTCGCAGCACGGTTTGTTGCGAGATGCAAACACAACTGCGCGCGCTCCACTGCTTACCAGGACTCTCGTCTGTTTCTGGTCGCAGCTTCAGGCGTGCTACGACATCAAGGCGGCCATTTTGTACGTCACCATAGTCCAGGCACGCCGCTTGGCAACAGCTAGAGACAGCAGTGATCTTCCCGATCCCTTCGTCACGTGTTTTCTCCTGCCCAGAAGAACGTGAGTCGTTTCCCTTCCCTCTCCGTTCCCTGGAAAAGAATCTCTGTCGGTCGCGCTGGCAGATTCTAATCTAAGGCACGGAATATGCAACTTTGTATAGACTTCTGCAAAAATTGCCCTCTGTGTGCTGCCATCTTTGTCTGCTGGGCTGTGGAACGCCTTCTGCGCATGCGCTGTTGCTTCGTTATATGAGACGCTGCGCAGGCGTCCACGCCTCACTGACTCATCATTATTCGCCCGGGCGATAAGTAAAGTAGAACAAGAAAATGCACTTTATCGAGGTCTTAACTGGAACAGAATCGCGCGAAAGTGCAGCCGGGTAGCTGGAACGACCCTCTGAGCCGCATAACACCTACGGGTACCGCATAACAAAAACAAACATAAAGCAAACAGAACTGGCGTTCCACATATATTACCCGATCCACATAAAATATTGACTTGTTCCAGAAAAATATGTGGAACGTTAATTTAACTGGAACCTATGTGGAACCAGATTAAGAGTGTGGAGGCGAGACATCTACTCAATTCTTAACCTGTCATCGACTGTAGTCAGGTTCGATAATTTCCTACGTGACCGAGTAAAAAATTCAATTAACTAAGTCGATCAAGATATCGCACCGTTGACAGATTGCGAGCCGATCCGGCAGTGGCGCAATATTTCCGAGTTCTGATGATCGCAGCAAACTGGTGCCGCAGACTGATGTTTCTTCGAATCTGTGGTTTTCGGTGCTGTTTGAACACTTAGCCTCGATGGGGCCAGACAGCCTGAACTCAATAATAAATTGAACGGAGAAATAAAAAAAAAATAAAAAACGAAAATTTAGTAAAGATATTTAGGGTCGTCCCAGACATCTTATACCTTTCAGTTAATTTAGAATATCGTGGAACAGAGCTCGTTTTTACATTGTATCACTCGTTATAACGGCAGACTGCGTCGCGAAGTAATTATTGCCTTAATTGGAGTAACCTTAAAATAAAAATACGAAAGTTTTTTTTCCCGATCGATTAAAGAGCATGGGCGCCTGTGGTGCAGCTTAGAGACCCAGCGCCGCAGCCGCTGCGTGCCGCGCTGTAGCAGCCCCGTCTGGAAGCAGACCATGGTCTACCCCGAGGTGCCGCCCGACGAGCTCAAGCGCAGCTTCCTCCAAGTCAGCGTCTGGAACAGCCACCTGGCCGGATGCGACGAGTTCCTCGGGGAAGTGGTCATTCACCTCTCAGGTACGCCGCTGCGATCATCCTCATTTCTTTCTCGACCCGCAAGGAATACTACACGAGGGAGTGGCCATACATATGGATACATAGATATTTTAAGAGTGAACACAACCATATCCCAATCACCGCAAATCTAATTTGAAGGCCTGGACAGAAAGAGGGTGACTGCTGCGAACGTATTAGCGTTATTTATTAAAAAAAACAATGTGATCCCTATAAACTAGGTAACAAAACATCACCCTCTGACTATTCTCCGTTTTACTTTACGATGATCCGCAGAGGACGCTACGAGCGCTCGAAGCCAATCTTATGCCTTGAGAGTGCCACGTTACCTTCGAGAGAAACGCAGATGTCGGCACCTATAGTCAGGTAATACTATCACAGCGCTGGGTTCGCCGTGATGGTTCGTAGGGTCTCCTGCGGTCCATCGTACACACTAAAACATTTTTCACTTTGAAGTGTGTGAAAACGCTGTTCCAGGAGACCTACACACCGATGACTTCCCCATTTGAGCAACTTCATTCCGACCTAATCCACCTTTCTCACTTGTGAAATATGGTGGTGTTGCATCAAGCACCATCTCATTTTTGAAAGGTGTTAAAGGCTGTGAAAAAGTGTGCTACGGTGATGTGAGGCGAACAGCTTTTCTGAAGGGGTTTCTTGCCGGCAAATGGTTGCTGCGTGATGGCGTCAAATTTCGGGTGCACAGCCCTTTCAAGCGTAGCTTATGTTGATACGTCAGATCAAACAGTTCTCTCTTCTTCCATCACTAACAAACAAATGCAGTGACAACACACTTCTAGCACACATGAAGTGCCAAATGCAGAGCGAATCGTCGCTTTTCTTGCAGACTCAGGAGTGCTCGATGAGCAGTCGCACTGGTACAAATTGCACATGCACGACGAAAGCAGGTATCCCCGAAGCGGTGTTCCAGGTTTCGGCAGCCCCGGTATTGGAAAGATGGCTCGAATCAGCGCTGGTGCCAAGATTGGCTGCTCCGACAGCACCGAGGAGTTCAGGAAAGGCGTGCTGGTAAGTGAGGTCCTAAATAACGAGAGAAAAAAAGTATCAGTAGACATTCTTCCGGAGCATGCAAGACAACAAAGTGAACGCGATCTACGGCAGGAGCAGAGGAAGAGAAGAGAGATCAAAGCGGTGAAACACGACGATTCAGCGTGCGACTCAGCGATTGGCCCCCTATCGGGCAGATATGGCGGTCTAACACAGGTCGTGCCGTGCCATGTGCCAGCTCAACGCACAGCGCACAACGCTCGGGTTTCAGCATGCAAGCACAGGACACACCCGATGGTTTGCCCCGATTTTTATTCATTACGCTGCGGCGATGTAATGACGTAAGCGCGCTTCGACAGACTTTCGGGGAAGCGATGGAAGGACTGTCCTACGGTGCTGATGAACGTTGATAAACGCACAATGTCTGGTCCACACGGTTGCGTAGGCTGCGTTGAGAGTGACCTGGGCAGCACGGAGATACGACCGACAAAGTCACTGGGACAACTGTTTCTTTGCGCCAACCACTGACAACCTGTCGGTGGTCGACGAGCAGAGATCGCGAAAGGACCGTCCAGTTAAATGGTTTCCCGCTAGGCGCCGTCCGTTTCGCTGGAGTCTCAAATAGCTCTAGCTTCTTACGATGCATACAACTATAGACAGTAGGACTTTCAGTTGTGCCGCCTCCAGTCTCCTATCTTCGATAGAACTCTCATAAACTTTGAGCGTGCAGGCGCAGCCAGTGCACGCTGGGAGGCAACGAGCGAGTTCTGGGGGTATCGGAAAAAGACGCTGTTCTCAACCTGTCAGTGGCTATGCTAACGTCACGTGCCCCTAGCCTTACCAGATATCGCTAGTGTTGTGTGGGCGCGAGAGAATTGCCACAAACAGTAAATCATGAATAAATAAAACCATGTTTCTACGCTATACAACCTCGCACTTGAAGGTATTATATATATATATATATATATATATATATATATATATATATATATATATAAAATACCTCATCCTGACGAAGGCCGGACTCCGGCTGAAACGTCAAAGAATAAATCGTCTGTTGTTGCTGTTTTCACCAAGGATTTTTTTTCTTCTCATTTATATATATATATATATATATATATATATAATATATATATATATATATATATATACATATATATATATATATATATAGACAAAGAAAATATAGCGTAGGATGCCGAAGACTATAAACTAATAAAGTCGCACTTCGAAACGTTGTTGGAGTTTTAAAGCATTTAGTGAGTCGACGTTTCGGCCTGAGACAGGCCTTCTTCAAGCCCAGTCTTGAAGTCTTGAAGAAGGCCTGTCTCAGGCCGAAACGTCGACTCACTAAATGCTTTAAAACTCCAACAACGTTTCGAAGTGCGACTTTATTAATATATATATATATATATATATATATATATATATATATATATATATATATATATATATATATATATATATATATATATATATATATATGCGCAGCAGCTAAGGCTAGAAGCACGAGATCCTAGCCTTCGTGGGTGATCTTCCTGTACGAGTGTTTGTGCAGCGCAGCCGTAGCGCATCTCAAAGCAAGAAGCTCGCGCTTAAAGTTTCGCTACGGTCGCCACGCTCATCATTAAAACCGTTTTTTGTTTTTTTTCTCCAGAACGCGACCCAAGAAAAGAGGTTCATAAAGCATTTCCGACGGAGATCCGTGTCTTCCAACGACTCTACCCGAAGTAAGCGATTCTTTGCTGTCGCTTGGTCCCCGCTGACGTGTCTTGTCTCTGTCCAGTCGGCAACCAGAACCGCCGCAACCGAGTGCCCATCTTCCCCACTTCCAACCTGACTGCCCATCCGTTGCTTCCTCGGGGATGTCAGGGTGCCGTGTGCAACCTTTTCTGAACCAGGTCAGTTCGCAGCCTTCCAGTCGCCCTGGCTGTGCTTTGCATACCCCTAATACTACGGGCCTCCATAGTGTCATGATACAAGCTCTGCCCCGTGGTGGCAATTTAGGAGCCGCCCAATAGATCCGTAGCTTTCAAGTTTTGAGCACCGCCCCTGGCGAGCAAGATCAGACGTTTTTAGGTCGCATTTTTGTTGCGCATCCGGTTGCGTCCTTTAAAACGCTGTGTTAGTGCGCGTAGACAGAGGGCAGAGGGGCGCTGCCAGACGCTGGCACGCGCCTGTGGATTGTGCATCGTGGGACGCCAGGACGCCCTTTCTTGTCATCATTAGGGAGCTTTCGTAGATCATTTCCGCTCTCCGGAAACGCTCTCCGCAACTCGCTACGATACCCGGAACTCTACAGTCAAGGCTATCGGCGCGCAGGCGCAGTAGCGACTTCTTCGTTGCGGAGGGCTTAGCGGAGGAGGAAGCGCGGTCTACGAAAACTCCCTATTAAATGGTCGTGTCTCGCGGACGCTAGCGGAGACACCCCTTTTGTGGTCGCGTCGTTCGGGCGCTACAGCGCCCACTGGCCGAGAAGAACAGGTCTAAAGCGGTGCTGCCATGCAAAGGGTGGCAGGACCGCTTAGGTTTTGTTTTAGCCTCGCTAGTAGACGCGAGCGACGTTCTACTCTCGACACCAGCCGGCGTTTGTGGCGCAGGGGACTGCGGAAATCGAGGTGGTACGCCGCAGTACGCACTGCCTACACAACTTTTTTTGGGCGCACCGTTTGGTCGTGTGTTTCGTCGTTTGCGGTTTGAACACCGGGTGGCCCAGAACTATGTAAAAGAAAACGGCGAGAACTGTAGCAAAATGATTTGATGGCCTAGTTGGTTGAACATAGTACACACAATTAGCGCGACTGGGGACGAACACAGGAAAGAAAGAGAAGACAGGACAGAGCGCTACTAACAACTGACGTTTTTCTTTTCCTATTTTTGCCTATTCTTTCCTTTCTTATTTTTTTGATTTTAGTCTTAATTGTAACTTTGTCTTCCTCTTTCCTCTCATAAAACGTCAGTTGTAAGTAGCGCCCTGTCCTGTCTTCTCTATCTTTTCTGTGCTCGTCCCCAGTCGCGCTAATTGTGTGTGCAACGGCGAGAACGCCTGCTAAACCGCAGTCCCTGCGAAAGGCCCGCAGGGCGGCGCCCCAGTCGATAAAATTTGATCACGCACTAAAATGTCGAGATTTCTGGTCTATAGACCATTTTCTTTGCAAGCACCACCAAGCGGCGGTCCAGTCTTTGACATCCCAAAAAAGTTTCGGAATGAACAAAGCCCCTTTAACACCGCTGAATGAAACGTGAATGAAACATTTAACCCCCGATTCTCCAGGTGAAAGCCAAAAGACCCAAGAAGCGCGAAATCTGTTCCAACTTTTTACTATTCCTGTAAACCAACTTGTCTCCTCCCAGATGTAATATTGTACAGCCGAAGGCCCTAGTTAAATCTCCAACTTTGTTTTCCGTGTAGCATGTATGCTTTCTAGCACCGGTGACATACGGTAGCTCGACAACAGCGGTTAATTGCGTCCTGCGCCCTGCCATCTTTATCCACTGGACTGTGGAACGAAGTTCGAGCATGCGCAGTGGCTCTCTTCTTCGGAATGTCCGACGCCGCGCCTGCGTTCACAACCCTCAAACTCGGCGGTTTTCTTTATTTTTTTTTCTGTCATTAGCGCTGGAAATTTGTACCGGGTCTCTGCGAAGACTTACAAACATTCCCCAAAATATGTTCTTTTGAGAAAAAAAAATCTTTTCGGGAACAAGCTGCCAGCCAAGGCGGATGCCTGGGATTGCAAAAAAAGACATACTCATCAGCAAAATCATGACCTAAAGTTTACTTATTAACTTTTCAAATCGTGAAAATAAACATGTGGTTCCAATTCGAAACTTGCTGAGCGTCATCGAAAACCCCCCAAATCAGTCAATTATAGGGCGACTCCAAGAATGTGGGAAGCGAGGGGGTAGCTTAAAGCTATCGCCCAACAGGCGCAAGGGCAGCGATGCGAAAATGCGAATGATAAGAATCTCACCCGCATTTTCGCATCGCTCACCTGTTGTACGAGCAGTAACTTCAGCGCACCCTCTCGCTTCGAACGTGCTTCGAGTTTTCGATGACGCTCAGCAAGTTTTTAATTGGAACCATATGTTTATCTTCACTATTTGAAAAGCTAATGAGTGAACTTTAGGTAATTATTTTGCTAATGAGTATGTCTTTCTACAATCCCAGACGTCCGCCTTCACTGGCAGTTTGTTCCCAAAAAGAGTTTCTTTTTTTTTTCTTTTTGACTACCCTAGTTTTAGAAATGTTTGAGTCTTAGCAGAAACATTCAAATATATATATATATATATATATGTGTGTGTGTGTGTGTGTGGTGTGTGTGTTTGTGTGTGTGTGTGTGTGTTTTAGCGTGTCCCCGCGCGATTCCTTAGATCGCAACAGTGCTTCGACAGATAGCTACTTTTATCATTGTTTTGTTTGTTATTGGTGCTTTTGGCAATTTTACGTCTGTTTACTTCTGCAAAACCTGTTCTAATACTTATAGACGCTTTAAACACGGGCCACATTGAGCCGCCATTGCCGACCTTCTCTCGTTTTACCGCGATGCCGAGCCACTGAACCGGGCATTGACGAGCCTCCACAAAGGCCTATGCTGGGGACAAGGACACAGTAGCACCTAAAGTGGATATAACCTCTCCTGCTGTGGTTATAATGAAGTAAAGAGAATGGAAGGAAGGAAAGGGGAAAACTGAAGGTCGGTTATGGCGGCGGATTCAGAGCTGCCTGAAAGCGTCGATATACGATTGTATGCAATATATAAAATAAACAAATTAGCGTCACAATATGTTCTCGTGGTGCGTTTTGTTTCTCTGAATGACCAGATGGCCTAAGATACTAATGCAGAAACAGGCCGCATTTTCACATCTGACCCGCAATACTAGAAAATTGGAACAATCAATGCGCTTCATCTGAGGACGTTCTGATGCAGATGTTCTGCAAAGAAAGCGACACCTAACCGGGCGCTAAATTTCTATATATATAAAAAAAAAGGCTACGTTACCACCACACCCTCTTGCATCGGAACATTTTAGATTTGACAATTTTTCTCGTATTCGTCAAAAAGAGGGTGAAGCTTCGAAAGCGGTAATTTTCTGCTTCTCTCTCTGTATACACGCAAGCAGATCTCCTGTTTCTTGCGGCGATTCCAGTGAGACGGCTCGTGGGCCTCCTGGCCTGAGCGGCGCCTGTCCGGGAGTTGAACCCCACAACGACGAGGGCTCTCGGCCCGGGGCCAGCCTCGGCGCTCGCCCCTTCGGTCGACCTGGCAGAGCGCCCATAGCGCAGCGCTGGACTCGGCACCGAGGGGTGGACCCCGGCGCGCGCCAAGGGCGACGACTCTCATCACCGGAGTCGTCCGTGCGCAGCTCCATGCGGCTCTCAGTGTCTCGTGTGTATACATGTACGAGCGTTTATATTGCGTTGCAATGTCCTATTGCAATAAGTGTGTACACGTTATTTTTAAGTGCCTTGTACGAAGCTAAACATCTGTTCTGTTTACGTGTATCGCCGAGCGTCCCGATGCTAGATGGAGTGATTTTGTCGACCCGAAGCTGTACGCTCATGGTCGCACGCTGCGTCGCTCGGCGACCACAGCGCAGTGGCGTCGCCGGAGACCCCTCGCGGCCTGCGCTAGTACAAAAGGGGCGCACGCGGACATGGTCACGAAGACCATGTAGACCACGGCTTTCTCAACGAGCGCTTACTCTAAGCATTAAAATCTCAAACGCCTCGCTTTTTTTATTTTTTTGTTGCCACTTGGTCCAGTCGTGCACGTGGAACGTACACCTAGGAAGGAGAGGTCGAGTCCGTCGCAAACAGCCCCGACCAACACTCGTGTCTCGACCCGTTGCCGGCGATCCTCCGGCGAACGGGCCTTCACAATGCTCCCCAAGGGCTACGACCTTGGGGAGCATTGTGAACACCGAAGGTGATGGGTCCTGACTCTGTTGTTTATCGGTATGGTTTCTTCTTCTTTACATCAACATTTCCGAAATGCATAACTCAAATCATATGGTATACAGCTAGCGTTAAAGGGCGCCTAACCCCCCCCCCCCCCCTCATAAAATAAAAATATATTTGTGATGGTTAAAAAGCGCAACAGGACAACGGACAGAAAGGAAGACAGACACAGCGCTAGTTACAACTGAACTTTATTTTCGTGCGAAGCGCTCAAATCCGGTTTCTTCTCCATATTCTCTTTTCATTTTTTCTCTTTTTCAAAATTCCTCTTTTCATTATTTTTTTTACTACATAGTCGCACGTTTGTTGAGGACAAACGAACGAAGACAAACCGAATCCTAAAAATCAGGACGGAAGGACCTGACGTAAGAGACTCCGGATGTCACGTGATTTCTTTCACTCCCCGCAACTACCCGTTGAAGTTCTTTTTTTTTTTTTTTACGCATTTGTGGCGTATTTTTGACAAAATTGAGTGGGAAATGTTTTCTTATTCTTTTTCAATTAAATCGCGCATGGTGTGGCCTTAGACGTCAATATTCCCAGCTGTGTCGTTGCTCTGTCCCGCCATAGCAGATGACCGATCGAGAAAGAAAGGCTATTTTTTTCTTGACATTACCAAGCCCTTGTGAGTCATGTTTCAGTAAACAGTCAGGGGCCCTTTAACGCCAGCGCAACTCTTTCGATGGCATAACTGCTCTGTGTAATACTGCCTTACACGGTGCGCACCCTCCCTCTTCTCTCTCTCTCTCCCACCCTCCATAGTGTCATTGTTTTTAATGGACAAGTGCTGCTTCTTAGCCTCTGTCAATTGACGTCATCGTTCCACCTAGTCTTTTTTTCTTTTCCAAGTTTCCCACGAGCCTGACACACCCGCGGCGTGCCGCGGCTAGACCAAGAGATGGCGCGGTCGAAGCCCCGGCTGCTCCGGGTTTTTCTCCGCGCCGACAGCGGTTCTCTCCGAGCCGAGGCTCGGCGAGCTGGTTGTGATTGCTGACATATCGAAACGGTCGGACACGTTGGCCCAATTCTCCATTGCCTCCGGTGTTCTTATACTCGTCTCTCGCAACAACCAAAAATAACTGTCAATATTCCCCGTTGCTCGTTACGAAAGGAGATGCTCTCCGCGGATATAACCATCACGTACCACTCGTTAAACGTATATACCTCTACGAATACTAAAAGGAAAGGCAGGACAGCTTGCCAGGATGTCGGCAAATGGAAGGTTCACGAACGACACGTTCCTCCTCCTTTGGTTTTGAATAGTTTGAAGATGTGAAAAAAAAAAAAAAAATAAAAAATGCTCTATAAATATATAAATATATTCCGACGAAGCTGTACAGGGCCTCTGCGTGCGTGTCATAATGAAATTATGTAAATATTTTCGCGCAACGACGACGAGCGTGCAGCGAGTGTCTTGTAGATGCAAACGCGCCCCCTCGGAGTTATTTTTCGATCTGTCGCGACCCCGGCAGCCCCCGCTTGATTCGTTATTGAGTGCAGCCTCGCACAATTCCTCTTCCGGGGAGGGGTGTCCGCTACAGAGCGCATTTTCAAATACACCTGTCCCGACGGTTCCGATGCTACCTGTGACCGTGCGACTCTGCGGGCAGTTCCACCGGGGATCCCTCGCCAGTGGAGACGTACGCCAGGAACTACAGCCGCGGACGGTACATCGGCTCAGGGTTGGCCCCGCACCGGCTGGGAAGGATGTCGCTACCAGACCGGTCCAGCCACAAACCAGCAGACGTATATACTATCCTGTGTCGTGGCTGCGTCGGCCTTTGGTGGGCATCGTTATGCAAGCCGTGCCGCGGTGTTTCAATGTCGGTACAGCGTCGACCAGTGTCGGCCTCCCCTCACTCGCTGATCGGGCTCTGGGCTGAAGCAGAGACAACGTCGGAGGGCATGCATGCAGGCATGAGGGAAACCGGAGCGCGTGAGCAAAGTATCGAGACGGCGAAATTGTAACCCCTATTGATAGCGTGTGGTGTCTATACCTCATCCACTTCCGCACTGGTCGGAGACTTGTACATATAATAAAGTGTCTCACCGTAGAAGCAAGACGATGCATTGGGCGACGTCTCTGTCCTCGATTCTGCATTCCCAGTTCTTATACTCTTTCACGGCCACTCTTGAGGGCAAAGAGAGCCCGTGTCTACATAAAAGTTTTTTTGGATGTCTGCATTTTGAACTTTCCTTTTCTACTTTCTCTTATTTCTCTGACACGTTATCGAGAAAGAGTTCTTCGATTTGCGGAACCGTTTCTCTTTCAAAGATTTCTGCGCATCAACGAACAGCTTCGCGCCCACCGTTTGGACAGCAACAAAGGGACCGAAACAGTTGACCCAAAGGATTCTTCGAGGACGGGCTTTTTTTTAGGGTGTATACCATTCAGCGTGCAATACGATCCTGTACGGCTTTTTTGTTGGGAACTTTTTGGCACTACCCAACCATAAATAGTGCCAAAAAAAAATTCTACGTGTTTTTTTTTTTTTTTTTAGTTTTAAAAGCAACTCTGCAGATTGGTAGATGTTTGGCTGTGATGCTTTTTAATAAAATTGTATTGTTACGAGCTATCAATGCACTGACATTCGACTGCTCCGACATACCATGGGTTAATTATTTTTAAAACCGTCTTTCGAAAAAAATGTAAACAGTAAAGCAAAGGTTCATTTCCTACCTTGCAGCTGAAGGCGATAAAAAATTGAAACGAACGAAAATGCAAACTATTAATATAGATTCCACAACTAAAACCAAATAAATAGCCAGTACGCACGTGTTCAAGAGCTCTTTGAGGTGTTCATAAAATACTCGTGCGTTGGAGACATTTACATTCATTTGCTGACCTTGACGAAATACGCATCATATTTCTAGACGCGCACAAAATAATTTCTTGCCGATTAAAAAAAAAAAATCCTTGTCGCACGTCCTACACTGGAGACACATTGAAGCGAAATGTAGCTGCGAAAGTAACAGAAAAATGTCTATGCGTTTTTTTTTATTACTCGCAATGTAAGCTTTGCACGAGCAACATATATTAAAGTAGTGAAGGGGTTCTGTATTTGCAAAAGAAATAATACCCTTTATTTTCTAAAAATGAGAGATACAATTTCGCTGGAGCACATGTGTAAAAAGCTCTTGAAAACAGCTTAACTAGCCGTCCTCTCCCCCCCCCCCCCCCCCCCCCCCAACACACACACATTAAACAAATCTTAATTTTATATGTAGAATTACACATATATAGATATATTCTTTTTTTTTTTTTTTTTTTTTTGCGCATAGTATAACTGTGCTGTCAAAATGACTCTGACGCCTCTCTCCTTCCTATCGCAGACATTTCGAGCATGAAATTGGGAAAGGGTTGTTCTCCACAAGCTGTTCTCATACACTAAATGGCCGGAAAAAAAAAAAGTATCAATAGGCCAGGGAACAGAGTGCCATGCCACTTTTCGTAGATCCGTTCTTAGGTGGTGCATTGATGACAGTGGGATTTTGTGAGCGTAGGTTTCTTGAAAAAAAAAAAAAGCAAGAAAATGAAAATTTGTTCTTTCCTATGCGCGGGAGGAAAACAGCAAACCGTCGGGTTGACGCCGCTACTCAAATATCGTATACCACACGTGCTCAGATCGGCTATATCTGCTTTATTCAGTTCATCTCTTTCAAGTGTTTGTACCACATGGTGCCACGTACGTGAGTAGCACCCGACGACTTGCGTCTGTTTTCCTCCCGCGTATAAAAAAAAATACTTTTCTTTTTCTTTTTGCATTTTTTTCCAAGAAACCTACACTCAGGAAATTTGACTACTATAAATACACCACATAAAACCACCTTCGTGAAAAGTTCCGCGCCACTCTGCTCACTGACTTATTTATGCGAATTATTTTACGCCCGAATCGCGCTTGAGAACTTCCGATAAAGAAGACCACCCCAACCTCATCACTAATGGATAGTTCCACTGACGGTGACGTCATGCGCAGGCCTTGTCTTCTAGCTGGTCATTTTTATTTGGTTACGTATATACACACATGTATTAAACAGGGTGGGAGATCGGTGGGCTAGCGCACACCAGTTCGGAGCACGTGGAGCTGAAGCTCGCGCTGCAGAACCCAGGGATCTTGGATTCGATCCCCGTCCCCTGCCCGTTCCGATCTGGATGAGCATCGTACCGGAGTGCGGTCGTGTATCACTACTGCATGGTGCACTTTAAAGACCCCAGGCCAGCAGTTGTACTGCGCCGGCTAAATTGCTCATCTACAGCTGAGACGCCAGACGTCCACTGAGGGCTGTATAACCATACACACAACATTATTATTATTATATATTTAAACAATGTTTCTCTAGAGGATTTAGTTTTTTTAAAGCAAATTTGCGTTAGGGTTCTTTTAGCCCTGGGGCTAAGTTGAAGATCCTAGGATGTGATATCGGTCAATCAGTAAGCTAATTCAGTAAAATATTTCTACTGACTTTCTTAATTTTTTTTTGTTTGGGGGCACAATGTAGTTGGAAAAATGATGCTCCACCTCAGTACAGTCTACTCGTGACGTAAAATAATAAAGAAAACATTTCGTTGTGAGATCTACGGGGCAAAAAATATCATCATCGTACATGGCTTCAATACCGAAACTAACCAGCGAAGCGCGCCCATGACGTCCATCCCTTACAACGTTGATCCCTCAAGGCCCGTTCACACACTTGCAACCGAGTAGGACCGGCTGAGACAAGACCGGTTTTTAAGCCCCTTGCGACGGCTTGGGACTTGCTTTGCAGCAACGCATCCGGTCCTAGGCCGTTGCAAGAGGCTTAAAACCGGCCTTGTCT